AGTTTTATACAGGTACGAACGAAAAGTTATTACTTTCAAACCAGTTAAAAAATAAGTAGGTGGCGCCCTCTACTAGTAGGAGACATATTGACATCAAAATCAAATTTCTCATGTCAAAAAACTCCCAAACACCAATTTTCATCCAAATATTGACGTTACTTCCGAAATTATTTGAAAAAAATCGAAATAAAAATGAAACTTCTACATCCTGTATCTCCGAAACTATGTATTTTAGGACATACGTTTATACGAATTTCTTTACTTATTTTTATCTGCAGAATATGCTGCCGAAGTTTCCGGAATACAGTTCGGACCACCCTGTATTTTTCCTTCGGCCACACACCCGTTTTAGCCGACCCCTGAGAGCGACCCGAACAGTACAGCGTAATAGCAGAGTAAGTAGATCGCCGAGTAGCGACAGAAGCCGTCGGCTCTTTTGATGTGGTGGGACCAAATGTTTTTTCTCTCTCTTTTGACGTGTTTGACAGATAGACCAAGTATTTAACTGCTCAACTTATGAAGTGGTCCTATAAACATGGTATACACTGCTCATAATAATTTGAAGTGGAATTAATTATACAGTTTTATAAGTACATATTTTTTTTGTTTTGTTTTATCCTTATTTCTAAATTTGAATGTATAAAATATCTTACAGCTAATAAATAATTAAAAAAATGATTTGTTGCTTGAGGCATACTTGAAATAAAGTATACATAATATAGAGATATTTGATAAATGGCAACAGTGGCAACTTCGCTTCTTCATATGACAGATAGACTACTTATTTCGCGCAGCCGCAAAGAAAATTGAAAACGGGACTGTCGCTACTCGTCGGTTTACTTCAAATACGTTTAAAATAAAGTATACAGAGGGTACCGCTTAAATTCTTGTCCCGATGTTGAAGGATGGCTATAGAATTTCAATGCATCTCCTACATAAGTCTATCCTTGTGTTGTAGCAGGTTTGACTAAACAAGGATGAACCTATGTCTTGAAACCATTCGACTCGATTTTCTGTCCTCCTTCAATACTGGGACGTAAATCCTCTCATTGCTCTTATGGGGAGGCCGTCGTATATTTTATTTAAACGTATTTGGTTTACTTACTCTGGTAATAGACTCTTAAAATATTTCTCTATGTGTACCAGATTGGGCTCTCGGAGCCGATGATGATCGACATTATTTATTTTCGAAACGGTGGTACCGAACGAGTTCTGGGCGTAGCGGCAAAGAGCCCTTGGGCTATCGCGATCCATACGAATTTCTGTCTGAATCGGGAGTACCGTAACGGTACAAACTACACGTACCGCACACAGGGCCGGACTAATCGAAGTTGCCGCCCAGGGCCAAAAAAAAATTGCATTAACATTTTTTTTTAATTAAAAGAATTACGGATATAAAAAAAATTACAGGACCAACAATAGAATAGACCGACAGAACAGATTAACACAGAACATAACATAGATATTAAAATATTCATATAAAATAAATAAACGAACAACAAAACTATAAGGTTTGCTTATATGCCTATAAAGGTCTCCTACGTACTTTTTTGTTCGCAAAATTATCAATTACTTCATCGTAATTGATAGTTTTTAAAAGATCGGACTCAATATGTAAAACTGCAAATGATTTAAACGTTCTGTTTCCATAGTGGACCGTAAATAAGTTTTAATATGTTTCAGTGCAGAAAACGAGCGTTCAGCAGAACAGTTAGTAATAAAAGTACATGTGAAGATGAAAGTATTTGGAAACAGGTCTTGAGCGTTTTTTTCATAAATTACTTTAAGAAGCTCTCTAGCAGATGGTTTTGCTGACTTAATGCATTTTATAAATTCACGAAAATGTATTAATTCATTAGGCATTGACTCATCTAAATCATTTGGATAACAGGTTACAGGTTATTAAATGTCTGGACTTATCGGTAATGTCATCAATACTTAAAGTAGATAAATCACTAAAGAAACCAAATTTGGTTGAAAAGTCATTGTAGGCACTTTTCCTGTAGGAAATTTCAAGGATTAATTTATCAATAATAACATTAAATACATCTATCCTAAAATCGTCCCTAGCGTTAAATAGAGTTTCATTATCACTGGTTTCATCAAATTGTCGTTTCCGTTTCGCTTTTCTCTTTTTATCTGCCGCATATTCTTTCTCACCGAACAATTCTATGGTCCTTCTTTCATATTCCTCAAATGATTTAGTATTATCTAGATTTCTAATTTCAGAAAAATATTTTTCCAATGAGCTATATAAATCTGCAGCAAGTTGTAGATCAATATCCACCATTTGAAGCTTTTTATTGACCACATCTAATCTATTTAAAACGTCTGTCCAAAATACCGCCATAAAACCAATTTCTAGGCTTTTGAATTGTTTAACGAGACTAGAAGCATCTAATCGGGTTTTAGGTTTTTCGCTGTCGTCTTCAGAAATTGACTCCAACGTGGATTTTATTTCATTGGAAGACAATAGTGATTGGCAAGCTTCATTTCGTGCAGACCAACGTGTTTTTGATAATTTTTTTAATGTTCTTGAATTTATTTTTTTATATTCGAGGTATTTGTATTTATTAACTGGATGCATGGCGCAATGCAGTAAAAAATAACCCAAGCGAATTATATATTTAAACAATAATAGTAGTTAAATAAATAAATATGTAATCGGCTAAGGCTATATTCGAAATATTTTATGAACAAATAAAAGTTAAAAAAAAGATAAATATTTTGGTATGCTCAAAATTTGCCGCCCCTAAAAATTTGCCGCCCCAGGCCCGGGCCTAGTTGGCCTAGGCTTAAGTCCGGCACTGACCGCACAAGACCTGGACTTGTGCGTATAACTGTGCTCACAGTTGTCGGTTAATCAATCTACACACTTCTTATTGAAAAATTTATTGGGTGTTGAAATAAAAATAGTGGATTTGTTAAATTAAAATCTTATTAACAATTACAAACTGATTATCGCCGGCTATTGGATGGTTTTATATATTTTTTATTAACATAAATGCCGCCGAACAACGAGGTAAATTTTTTACGGCGGTTTTTTTACTCCTATATTCCACGGCCTCACAGAAAGCGAGTTTTGCGATTTTTGCGTGAAGCGTCTTTAGCGACTAAAACAAAATAATAGGATTATACAGGGTGTCCCAGAAATAAGTGCAAATATTTTAAGGGGTGGTAGATCTCGATAAAAGAAACATATTTTCTCTTTATCGGTTTTCAAGTCCAAAATAACGGAGTTATTTTACTTTGAAAATTTCCAAAAAAATTATTTTTTGCTAAAATTTTGAGAACCACTGGATCTTTTCTGGATTTTCTTTCTTGTAAATTTAATCTACATACATACATACCGCCATTACTCGCTGACGAGTATTTGACACGCATCAGAAGATGGTCACGCAAGGCGTTTTCTTTCATGAGCTTTTCTGTGACTGAAAAGCCCGATACGTGATGTTATCTGTCTACCGCACTCCAGACATTCAAAAATTACATTGCTTTGTTGCCTCTTTACTTTTTGGTTGTCGCTGTTAACTGACTTTACAATTCTTCTCCATTCCGTTCTATTGTGAGCTGCCTCTTCCCACTCACTCTGCTTGTTAATTCCCTTTAAGTTTTCGTTCCCTTTAAATTTAATCTAATACCTATGTTGCCATATTATCAAGAAATTATGTTTTTTCAACTAAAAACTAAAGAAAATTCCGAATTTTCAATTTTTTTTTTCGCGAAAAAAACCTCATACGCGTGTTTCTGGGTTTGAACTATACTACCAGTTAAAATACTTGCACTTATTTCTGGGACACCCTATATAGGAGTGGCCCGACCAAAAACGTGTAGCGTTCGGCGTGTCTCGCAAAAGACGAAAATGAAAACAAATCAGTTTGTTTTCTGTAGCGTCTTTAGCGATTTCTAAGATGAGCTCTCGTCATAGGCGGACGTAATATCTAATAATACAATAAAAATAAATTAAATAGTATGCATTTTTTTTTCATTTTAGGGTATTTTTAGGGTAACATCTACTGTTTAGGAAGATTCTATTAAATTGTAGAATTTGAAGGACATGTTTGAAAAAGTAATAAATAAAAAAAAAATATTTTTTTATTCGTAAAAAGTGTTTTTACACGTAAAAAATATTCTTTTTTTTGCGTAAAAAATATTTTTTACGAGTAACAAATATTTTTATACGTGTAAAAATAGTTTTTTTACGTCTAACAAATAGTTTTTTACGCGTAAAAATAGTTCTTTTGCTTAAAAAAAAGTCTTCTTACGAGTAACAGATAGTTTTTTACGAGTAACAGTTTTATTCGCGTAAAATAAAAATAAAAATAGTTTTTTACGTGTAACAAAGGGTTTTTACACGTAATAAATTCTCTTTTACAAAATTTGTATTAAATTATCAATAATCTTGACAAACACGTGGACTTCTCACAAATACACGTCGCGTCACTGCGTATTTCTAAGCCGTTATCACTTTTGGTTACCAGTTACCACTAGTTCGTGTGTCAGGGCCGTCTCGCAAATGACAAATAATAATTATTATTTTTACACACACCACTGGCACTAGCAGTAGATTGCGTTTTTCGTCGAATATCCAGCCCGTTCAACGCTCGATCGGAGCCTATCTTTCATCTTCGTCTTTTCAACGCTAACCGTGCCGACCTATCTCTTTCTCAAAGAATTGAATGTTGAACGGGCTGGGAAATCCAAGAGTTTTTAGGTTACTAATCGAATGCTTGATAGAAACTGGAGACCTGCCGCTTCTTTTACGTGTTTTTAATGAACACAAATGAAAAAGCTTCAAACGGTAAAATCGCAAAAACGCTTCACACGCAAAAAACGCTTTCTGTGGGGCCGTGGGCTAATCCTGTTATTTTGTTTTTGTCTTCACACAAAAATCGCTTTCTGTGTGGCCGCGGGCTTACACGGTACACTTACTTTTTTACCCTTCTTTAAAAAACAGAAATACCACCGTTATTTTACATCATTATTTTTATCTTTTTCAGATCATCCGACGAGCATGGTTTTTCATCGTCAGACCCGGCCGTCCCCTCGTCGGCCGCCTCCCGCTTCTACGAGCGGTCGTCGTCCACCACGTCGACGGCGGGGGGCGGCCAAGGAGGAGGGGGCGGCGGCAGGACGCCCTCGGAAGCCGCCTCCGAGGCCGCGCGACGCGGTACCGTCACCACGCCCGTTCCAGAGACCGCCACCGGTACGTGCAGGGGCGGCCGGAACCGCGACCGGTTTAGGGGCGGCGGCGGAGTGGCGGGGAGCGGCGGTGGGGGCGGCGGAGTCGGTGGTGGAGGCGGACATCGGGGGAGCGGCAGTTGGATATCCGGATACGAGTCGTCCAGGTGAGTTTGCTTATATTCATTTAGATCTGTCCATTTTTCGGACATTTCAAGGTAAGGTGGAAAAAAATCATAATTTAAAAAAATATAAAAAAAAATATATTTTTTTATTTTAATCAGATTTTTTTTATTATAATCGGATTTTTTTTATTTTTATTCCTAAATGGCTAAATTTAGGACGTGAAATACCCTGTTCCCCTACAACAGGAACATGCCCATGAATGATGTGTTATAGACTGTATGATGAGTTATAACTCAAGAAAGGAGGACACAATAAATCTTTAAGGTCGCAGTAATAAATCCCCATATCACTCATTCTACATTCCACATCTTCCATCTTAAAACTTTGATGAACAGTATTGAAATCTATAAGCCAGAAACACGTTTCTGCGGTTATCTATACTATGTATTTTATTTATTCTTTGGATTATTTTCCTGCAGTATTGTTTCTTTTAAATATATTATTTATTGAAGCATATTTATAATATTCTCATGACGATTATTATCTGCTTTTACCTTCACTGCCGGAGAGAGCCTTTTTCAGGTATCCTGAACTTTAAACAACCCAATAACTCCACAATTCAGCCGCAAGGAAATTGAAGGGAAATGATATATTGAGGAAGTAGGGCATTTTTTGAGATTGAATATTACCAATACGGGGCAAATGGAAAAGGAAATTGTCGCGACGATCGAGTCTCGAGTTAGTGAATAGAAATAAAATTGAATTGAGTGTGGAGAACGATCAACAAATTTTTAATAATTTGAAATGGCATAATTGTAATAAGTGATTTATCCCATTGTCCCAGCCGTCTTTGGCGCCTTTTTTTCGGTCGCATGGTATATATATTTATTTGAAGTCAAATAACAATATGAATATTGTCTTCTTTAGGGGACTTTTTTATACGGCATCTAAATGGATGGAGGATTGATTAATATTTATAAGAATTTAAAAGGCAAGAAATTTTGTCATTTGATTAATAGAATATTAATTGATGTAATTAAAATCACTAATGACCGATCACACTTCTTTATTATTAGATTATTAGATATTATTCCAAACCGAGGTCCATACACATTTTAAAACACTTTCCTATTTAGTTTTAATAACAGGAAGTCATCACATCGTTAGATACACATGTATATTGGTGGAAAATACAACACTTTCTATATAAGTACTTATATATCCCCATAATATCCATATGTCTTGTTTTATTTGGACCGATATATTGTTTACGACTATTATGTTTTTAATATAGAGGGAGAAAACGCTTAATTTGAATTAACTAAAAACAAATAAAACCAACAGAAAATTATAAACCTACGTTGGCGTAGGCATTCTAATTGCTTCATTAGAAATTTTGCTAGAAACAAGTTCCATTCAAGTACTCTCTCAAAATATAAGTTCTGGCATATAATAGAAAATCTTACGATCAAAGATACTTTCTTTATATGATAGGTAATTATTCTTATTGGAACATTTTTAGAACATTTTCATTATTAGGTAAATGTAGTTGTTAGCTTTTACCCTCGCTTTTACCATCTTTTACCTTCTTTTACCTTGTCAAAAATATCAAATTTTAAATAAACAATGGCGAACCTTTAAGCTCCATGTGTCAGAATTTTGAAAAATCGAAACATATTTTTCGTGGCGTGTCACACATCACAAAAATAAAGACAAAGAGTGAAATATTTATAATTTTTGTTAAGTTAATTAAAGTTTGTAATCTACATATATAAAATGCTAATGTTTATCTGTGTCGTCTCTACTGAAGTAACGACTTGCTCTAGAAAGTTGCTTTTTTTACTAAACGATAGCTAATTGGCTCTTCTAAAAACTGTCGTCGCCGGATTTTTTGTTTTTCATTTAATTAAAAAAAAAATAAGTATATGGCGGATGCGCCAGGCTTCAACTAGATTATTATATATGTTATACGTAATAATATTATTATTAATAACCAACTCTGGCCGTTATGAGGGACAAATATTTGAATTATGATTTTTTTATCTTTAAAGACGCCTGTCACCTAAAATAAGCTCGCGTATCAGCACCGAGACGCGTGTCATAGGTTTGCCATCACTGCTTTAAAGTGTCTGGTCTGTAGGTATATACATACATATTTTGTTGATTATTAAGATTTATTAAAACAAGATTGCTAACATCTACAGATGCATATTTTGCTAATACACTTATTTTTTTGCAGCAATCAGTTAATTCACTAAAATTTTGGCATTATTCCAGTAATTAATTTTATGGCTCGTGTCCCATGAATTTTGACAAATTATAAATTTGCGAAAATCCGTAATATTTATGTTCTTTAATTCGAACATTTAAATACCTTCATGTTTTACTAATATGATTTTTTTACGTTCACTGGGATTTTAATATATTTTGGTTGATATTCTATGTCTGTGAGATCTGTGTGAGTCGATATGAATATAAGTACATATATTTTAGGTTTTAAATAATAATTAATGCTGTTGTAATAATTTCCTAAATTTCTGAAAAAAAATAATTTTTATAAGTATACAGAGTAGTATAGTAAAAAATATGGTAGTGAGTATTGTTGTATTTTGGGTCCTAGAGATTCTTCTGGTTGTTAGTTTTGACATTGTCTCCCTATAGTGTGTTTTGTGTTATATTTTAAGTGTCTGTGTTATTTTAATAATTTGATTCTGAACATATGCTTGGTTAGCTCTTATTGCCTATTATATCTACATAAACGCTATCTGGAAAAACGACCTTAAGCAGCAAAAGAATTGCGGGCAAAAATGCGGCAGTTGTACCTCCAGTTTTAAACCCCTCCATGGAAATAGTTGAAATATGTACTAGTCGTAGTATTTATTTATATATTCAGTGGCGATGTTATTATATTGTATTTTCTACCTTTAACTTGATTTGTGCACATTATAAGGTTTGTTCCAACACAGATATTTGTATCGGCCTAAAACGGTAATTTAATTGGGATCGCCGACATTGGATTTGTACGTATGTGTCGACTTGCGGGCAGTTCTGTGACTATACCAAAATTAAATGCGGATTGGAACGGTTTTTGAACTGATTTTAGAATCAAATTCACAACCTAATTTTTAATTATTAATATCGGTTAGATACAACATTTATTGCAAAAAAACCTCAGCGATGGCTATGAAATGAAGGTTGCTGTCATTTGATATGTAAAATTATATGGGGAATGGCATTTCCAAGTTTCAAACCAACGACGCCGTTTTTATATCATACGGTATTTTCGATATAAATTGCGTATTTTATTGAATTTATTTACAGTTTACAGATTATTGAATTTATTTTTTTTAATTAATACGAAATCACCTTTGCTTTATTTAATTAACAAAGTTTCAAATCATCTTCAGTGGTATCCTCATACTCAGTATCATTGTCCTCTTCGTCACTCATCATATTTAGTACAAAAATATAAATTAATTTATTTAAATATATGTAAAAAACGATAAATATCAAATAAAACATGAGGAATCACCAATTGAAAAGCAGAAAGTAATCAAAGAAATAAAGAAAACAATAATCAGTTGACAAACAGTCTTGAATTTGCAGGTCAGTTCTTTTGATTCTTGCTTCTGATTCTTGCGTAACCGTACCAGGAACGGTTCTTTGCTATGTTGGAAAATTTAGATAGGAAACGGGAAATAGCGGGAAACTATCGGAAACAGGAAATAGACATTTTATCTGGTAGTCAAGAAGCACTAAAAGCAATCAACTCAGTAACCATCAATTATTCGAAGTTGGTCAAATAATGTCTAGAGAAGGTGAACAAATTAGGCAAAGAAAATAAAGTCCTCCTAATCTGGGTCCCAGCTCTCCCAAGGGATAGAAGGTAATGAAAAAAGAAACGATCTAGCTAGAAAAGGAGCTAACATTCCACTAACTGGACCAGAACCGTCCTGCTTGCCAAGTGGAAACCAACTTAAAGCGGAACTCAAGAACCTGGAATGGGAATCCTCCAACGGTCTAAGACACTCGAAGAAATTCCTCAGAACTTACGACCGAGAAAAATCAAAGATCAAAGATTTTTCTTGGTTTAAGTAAGAAGAATCTACGGATTGTCGCAGGGTTTCTAAGAGGTTCGTTTCTCAACGAACACCTCAGTAGATTGAAGCTAAGAAACAACGGCGAATGCAGGTCCTGTGGGGAAAATGGGAAAACACCAGAAAACCTTATCATTGAGTGCACCGAGACGACAACCATTCGTGCCATAAACTTTGGTACGACTGATATCGGAGATGGAGAACTAGCCTCTGTGAAGCCATCTCAGTTATTGTTTTTTTGTCAAAGCCCTGATTTTTTTTCACAACAAGGGGCCGTCCTCTGCCGGAAACACTACGACCTGTGTGGCCTATTGTGTTTGTCCCCTTTCTGTATCTGCACCCATTCTCCTATCCCTGTGCCCTGCACTAACTTATCCAGGTCCTTGATAGGATGGGAACATAGTTCCTCCGGTTCTAGCCTAGCTTTCCCAAATAAAAAGTGTCGCTTGCGATCCAGAGCCTCGCAGTGACATATTATGTGCTCCGCTGTTTCAGGATCTTTATCGCAGAGTCTGTAGCAAAGACTTCCTTGATACAGTTTGAGCTTCTTCAGGTAACACTTGACAGCCATGTGTCCTGTCAAAAGGCCTGTTGTAATCCGCAATTTATTCCTGCAAAGCATTAGCAGTTCTTTTGCGGTTTTAGAGCTAGGTCCTTGGATAAAAGTCTTGCTGTGCCTTTACCCCTGTCTGTTTCTCCAGTGGACATTCTGCTTTTCCCCGATCCAGAGTTTAAGTGCACTACGGGCCATACATTTGGGTATTCCCAGTACTGGCTCTGGACCAAGATAGGATGCCGATGATCCTTGCCTAGCTAGCTCATCGGCTTTTTCGTTGCCTTGGATGCCGCTGTGGCCCGGCACCCAGAATAATTTAACTCTGTTCCTTCGAGCCAGATCTCCCAGTTCACCTAGGCATTCCCAGACGAGTCTCGACGATACCTGACGGGCTCATAAGCGACGCAGGTGCCGCCTGACTGTCTGAGCATATATTGATGAGCTTATCTGAATAAGCTCTTCTATTGTTGTCTCTCGCACATTGATACTGTATTCCAACTGATACTAAGCCCTGATGTATGATGAGTTATAACTGGTTATAACTCAAGAAATGGAGATACACTATAGATTTGTAAGGTCGCAGTGACTAACCCCCCTCCCAAACATTCTACATTCTATGTTGGAACAAATCTTCGGCCATGTTTTCAGAGAACTGCGTTTCCCTCATCCTTGCCCCGTTGTTCCAGATCCATTTGTCAGTCTGTATCTTGGTAGTGTTGCAAGGAAATTTTGCCGACAAAATAAATTCCCCGACTGAAGGATAACAATGAGCCGATAAAAAAGAGAAAAATAGCTTTATAACTGTCTGCAATAAATCAGTTGACAATAACCGTAAACATTAAAGCAGATAACGCAATCTAATTACAAAAATAAACAGGCGATAGTTTAATGGCTCGATAGTTTATTGCTACCGCATAAAACCGAACCTCTGCTGCTTTCTGGCTTACATCCTGTTAAAAATGTAAATGTTTCATAAAAGCCTTTTATGATTCATTATATCGTTTGCGGTTAAACTTATCGAGCGTTGTTGTCGGCGTGTAAAATTTCTGTAACGTTTGTTAATGTGTTTAAAGGAGAACGCACCTTTCGTTTTACATTATCTTTAACACTTCGCCGTTTTTTCTCTTTTTTTACAAAAATAGGTCGCTTCTCCGTATTATTTGGTTGTTTTTGTAAAGTACGAACGAGTTTTCGTTCATTAGCAGCTCTCTTATTTTGCACGAACCTTAAACATAATGGATATCAGTGGCGTACACACACGGGAATTGTAAAATTTATCCCATCAAAAACATAGAATGTAAAAAAATGCCAAGTCTCAAAGCACAATTCTTTCACTATAAAAAGTTGTGAGATCTCAAAACCAAGTCGTTTTATTTTATTTAGTTTCTTTTTAAGCACCTATTCAACAATTTTGTTATAAATTGTTACTATCAATATTAGACCTCTTTATTTCTGTAATAATTGTAACAACTTGACAATTGCACGACATATACCTATACATACATATACATACGCTGACGAGTATTCGACACGCATCAGAAGATGGTCACGCAAGGCGTTTTCTTTCATGAGCTTTTCTGTGACTGAAAAGCCCGATACGTGATGTTATCTGCCTACCGCACTACGGACATTCAAAAAACTCATTGCTTTGTTGCCTTCTCCATTGAGTTCTATTGTGAGCTGCTTCTTCCCACTCATTCTGCATGTTAAACCCCTTTAAGTTTTCGTGGAAAATGTCCTTGTACCTTTTCAGTTGTCCACCCGGCCTCCTCTTACCGTCTACAAGCTCACCGTAAAGCAGAGATTTTGGTATGCGGTTTTCTTGCATTCTGCATACGTAACCAGCCCATCTTAAGCGGGATTTTGTCACCATGACTCCAATACTCTCGCAGTTAGCTTTTTCAAGGACCGATACGTTTGAGACATGATGGAACCACCTGATTCTTAAGGTTAGTCTAAGGTGTCTCTGTTGCAACTTGTTTAATGCGTTCATGTGTCGGCGGTACGGCACCCAGGTTTCGCTCCCATATAACATGGTGGGGATTATAATTGCTTCGTTTTTGTACTCAAGTTGTGATTGTAGAAAACCCTGTCTTTTAATTTCCAGAATGCTCTTGAGGCGCTGCTAATCCTGGGCTGAATCTCAGAGTCAATGTTGGCCTTTTCCGAAATCAAACTGCAGAGGTAATTGAATTCCGCCACATATTCCAATAGTTCTTCTCCGATTTTTATAGCATTGTTGTGATGATTTTGGTTTTGTCAATGTTTAGCAAGGCCCAAAGCCTCGTATTCCCAGGTATATGTGTTCAACATTTATTATGTATTGAAGTTCTGTGATGAATTTTGTATGTGTTTTTGCCCTGAGTCTTTTTATGTTGAACAGACCGCCGTCGTATCTGTATCTAATGCCCAATCCTCTCTCCTGCAGTTTGCTATCCACTATAATGGAGAGCGCTGCCATGAATATGCATTGCACGACACCATAATTATAAAAGAATATTCTACCATTTCGATTACTAAGTAAATCTAAACAGTGCACTTAAGAATAAAGTTTTTTTAATTAGTATAGTATATCATATCACATGCCAAGTCAATCATCAATTGCCAAGTCATTATAATTATTACAGAAATAAATATGTCTATTATTAATAGTAACAATTTATAATAAAATTCTTCAAGTGAAACTAAATAAAACAAACTGACTTGGTTTTACATGAACTCTCACAACTTTTTATACTGGAAGAATTGTGTTGTGAGACTTGGCATTTTTTACATTCTATGTTATTGATGGGATCTCATTTCTTTTTGTAGGTTATCCTCTTCCTTCTTTGGGGGGTAATATAGCATTCAAAATAATATTAAAGAGGTTTGAATAGCAATAATTCATAAACTCTGAATTATTGTATATAATCAGATAATATCAAATTGATTAATTTTAGTTTTTCAACGACTTTTGTTTTCAACTTTCGTTATATACCCAAATTTCAACTTCATGATTTTACTAATGCTTAAGCTTGATTTTCATGCATCCGTTATACGTTGATACGGGTCCGACGGTGCTCTGATTGGCCATAGTGTTTTCGCGCCACTTTTCCTCAATATTTTACTTCAGCTCGTCAACGGATCCGTTCATATGCCGTTCATACGATAACGGACGTTTTGACACTTTTTTGACAAATTTAATCTAGCCTTAACAGAATAAAAATATAAGTAAAATAGCAAAATCGTTATGGAAACGATAAAAATAATCTTTTTACGTCAAGCAGTTTAAGCAGAATCGTGGTTAAGAAATTACCCAACTTTTTGGATCACCCTGTATGATTTTTTAAAAAATTTCAAAATATGTAAGAAACCAAATAAATTATGCTTGTCCAAGCGTTTTCCTGAAAGACTAACCGTTTTTTAAATAACAAATATTGTAATATTTGAGGGGCGTTTTCACCCTCTTGGTATTTGAGATTCGAGAAACCCCTCCTTATCGAACCTCTACATCCCACAGTCAATCCGTTTACCAAAATCAGCTTTAAACGTCAAGCAGTTTAAGCAGAATCGTGATTACTCAATGGTCATATTTTATGAAACACCCGGTATAAATTTATAAAAAATCTTAAAATATGTAAAACAACAAAATAAAATATACGTGTTTAAGAGTTTTTCCGAAAAACTCACCGGTTTTTAAATAAAAAATATTTTAATATTTCAGGGATAGTTTCATTCGAGTTTCGAAAAATCCCTGCTTATCGAACCTCTACACCCTAAAGTCAATCTGTTTTCCAAAAATCAGCTTTTTACGTCAAGCGCTTTAAGCAGGATCATGATTAATCAATGACCAGATTTTTCGAAACACCCTGTATACATTTTTAAAAAATCTTAAAATATGTAAAAAACAAAATAAAATATACGTGTTTAAGCGTTTTTTTCGGAAACTTGACCGTTTTTTAAATAAAAAATATTGTAATATTTGAGGGGTGGTTTCACCCTCTTGGAACTGGAATTTCGAAATATCCCTTCTTATCGAACCTCTACACACCTCAAACCTAGAATCAACCTGTATGCCAAAATTGAGCTTCTTACGTTGAGTGGTTTGAGCAGGATCGTAATTAATCAGTATGTCAGTCACTTAAGGATTTTATATATTAGTATAGATTCTAATAGGGGTGGTTTGGTTTGGTCTAATAACGGTCTAATAAGTGGAAATATGTTCAGGACTGGTAGATCTCGATTAAAGAAACATATTTTCTCTTTTCCGTTTTTCAAACAAGTCCAAAATAACCGAGATATTTTGCTTTTTAAAAATTAAAAAAAAATCGCTTAAATTTTGAGAACCTTTGAGAATCCTTTTTGGTTTTTTTTTCTTATAAATTTAATCTACTATCTATGTTACCATATTATGTTTTTTAACTAAAAATTAAGAAAAAGCTAAACATTTTTTTCAAAAAATTTCAATTTTTCAAAAAAAATTCGGATCGAAATATACTCCCCCTAAAATATTTGCACTTATTTAAGATTCACCCTGTATAACTACATTAGATAAAGACGGATATTAGTATAGAAGTCTAATGCCCATGAAAATGGGATCAAAAAAGTTGAAAAAGTTAAATTCTTTGTTAATATCAATGGATTAAAATATTCTTTTTTGTTTTCAGGTATAATAATAGTAACGAAAGAAGTCAGTCGGAAACAACAGGGTATAACTCAGCACCGTCGGATACAAACGAACGGCGGAATTCCGAAAACGTGCGGAAAAAAACCAAGTCTAGATCCGGTTCAAGGTCACCGACACCAAACGGGAGCACTAGCAGCAGATCTCCATCAAGGTAAGCGCATCTTTTCCAGCTTTTAACAAAGTTCTATAAATCATGAAAACATAGAATCAATTGGGAATGCTGGGTGTAGCATTGACATTCTTCATTCGTTTCTATTGGTCACGTTCTTCTTCCGGCTTAAATTTTCCAGATTTCTAAAATGCTTTCCCCCGTTTCTGGCTCTACTGTGACGGTTTCTGAGTATCCATTCTTTGTAAACTTCTTTCGCTGGAACTAAACTGGGAGCCTGCTCACCAAGGCAATGAAAAAGCAAATAATCTAGCTAGAAAAGGAGCGAACACACCACTAATTGGATCAGAAGCGTTCTGTTTTCCAAGCGGGAACCAACTGAAAGCAGAACTGAAGAATCTGGAAGACTCCATCCGTAACCTGGAATGGGTGTCCTCCAACGGTCTAAGACACTCGAGAACTTACGACCGAGAAAAATCAAAGATTTTCCTTGATTTAAGTAAAAACAATCTTCGAATTGTCACGGGGTTTCTAACAGGACACTGTCTCCTCGATGAACACCTCAGTAGGCTGAAGCTGAGAAACAACGGCGAACGCAGATTCTGTGGGGAAACACCAGAACACCTGATCACTGAGTGCACCGAGTCGACGACCGTTTGTGCCATGAACTTTGGCGATGGAGAGCTGGCCTCTGACTTCGACGATGGAGAGCTGGCCTCTGTGGAGCCGTCTCAGATACTGGCTTTTGTTAAAGCCCTGAGACTGTATGATGAGTTATAACTCGTTATAACTTAAGAAAGAGAAACACATTTGTAAGTTCGCGGTGATTAATTCCCCTCCTAAACATTCTACATTCTACAAGTCCAAAAATCGTTTACGCCGAGAAAAAACACAGTTGTTGTTGCTTAAAATTAATGACTATATTTTAATCCAGAGCAATTCCAGACTAAACAGCAGTTTTAATGTTATATTATTTTGGCTTTTTCTGATGTTACTTTTTCCAAAGGAATAGTCAAGAGAATGAACATCTTTATTCAATGACAAGTTTTGAATAGTTCTATCTTGGTTAGACTATATTTTAATCCAGAGCAATTCCAGACTAAACAGCAGTTTTAATGTTATATTATTTTGGCTTTTTCTGATGTTACTTTTGCAAAAGGAATAGTCTGGAAGAGAATGAACATCTTTATTCAATGCCAAGTTTTGAATAGTTCTATCTTGGTTGTCAGAATGGTTCGACTGAGAATACTGTCCCGTGTGTGTGTAGAGATTCGTGTCTGTATACAGAGGTGAGAGGTCCACTATTTCTACCGACTAGAACATTCAGAAGCAGTAAACCGAATGTTTTCTCTTTCTCAATGGAGTTCTTTTTCATTTCAATTCACAAAATAACTTCTTATATCATCAAAAACATTTGCCTTTGTCCTTATTATTATTTTGCCCCTATGTATTATCTATAATTCTCATCTTTTCAGGTCGCGGTCACAGAGTAGCAGCAGTTCCTCTTCGTCCTCTACGTCGAGGGATACATCGTCTACAACGTCGCGACGTTCACGACGTCACCGTCATCGGAAGAAAGCCGGCCCTGGGACGGGAGATGACCGACGACCATTGGCCATCTGCGTACGGAATTTGCCGGTACGATCTAGCGACACCTCTCTGAAGGATGGACTGTTCCACGAGTACAAAAAACACGGCAAAGTAAGGTGGGTGAAGGTGGTGGGACAAAACGCCGACCGGTACGCCATCGTTTGCTTCAAGAAGCCGGAAGATGCGGAGAAGGCGTTGGAAGTCAGCTACGACAAATTGTTTTTTGGATGCAAGATCGAGGTAGGTATCAGTAAAGTTGAAATATCTAGAATCATTATTTATGCTTTTTGTGATTATGAAGCAGTACTAGTTCGTGGATTAAATCGAAGTTATAATATGGACAAAATACACAATACTGCTAGACTTATATTATTAGATTAGATTAGATTCTTCGAAGTGACTCTCGGGCTGATCCACTGCCACCTTTCTAGATCTACTGTGGTCTGGTCCTCTTCTGATCTTTAGGTTACATTCTCCAGTCCGATACTTTTCAAAAAGTCTAGCAACCTGGAAACTGAACCCTCCATATAGCTCTCTGTCAATGGTCTATCATTTCCTAGATTTATATGATATTCTCCTGCAAGTCCTGCAAGAAGAAAACGGTTTAAAATCGAGTAAAATATAATTAATGTTAATTATATTTTATATTATTTAGTATAGTTACATAAAATTTAATGATAATATACAGGGTGGTCCAAATTGTATTCGGGAAACTTCTGCAGCAAAAATAAGTCAAAAAGTTCGTATAAATTTATGTCCTAAATTGGTTAGTTTCGGAGATTCGATGAAGAAATTCATTTTTATTTCGATTTTTTCCAAAAAATTTGTGAACTATATTTGGATGAAAATTAGTGTCTGGGAGTTTTTGGACATGAAAAATTTGATTTTATGTCAATATGACTCCTGATTGTAGAGGGCGCCACTTACATATTTTTTAACTGGTTGAAAGAGTAATAAATTTTTGTCAGTACCTGTAACTATTGAGCGAAAGAATATACATTAAAAAACAGGCCTCTTTGTAAAAATCACTACGAGTAATGGTTGTCGAGGTACTTGAAATCAAAATAATCAATATATGTCATCATTGACATAAATTAAATATGTTGACTAGATAGGTATTAAACTGAAATAAAAAATTTGAAATGTTTTTGTGCCAATAATATTTATGATTAATATAAAAAAAATAAAAAATTTCCAAATTTATCACTTCAATGAAATAACTCTATACTCAACATGTTTATTTTTTCTCAATAATGACATGTATTGATTATTTCCATTCAAAATTTTTGGAAATTAAATGGAAAGTGACGAAAATTTATATTTCTTCACTCGGTACTTTTATACAGGTACCGACTAGAAGTTATTACTCTGCAAAACAGTTAGAAAACATGTAGGTGACGCCCCCTACAAGTAGGAGTCATATTGACATCGAAATCAAATTTCTTATGTCAAAAAACACCTAGAAAGCATTTTTTATCCATATATCGACTACTCGTATAGTTAAGATATTATTTGTAAATAAACAAAATAAAAATGAAACTTCTACACCGTGTATCTCCGAAACAAAGCATTTTAGGGAGTAAATTTATATGAACTTTTGAAATTTTTTACTTAATTTTATCTGCAGAATATGCTGCCGAAGTTTCTCGAATAGCATTCGGACCGCCCTCTATACATAGTCCTACTATTTACTTAATACCATTTGGATAGCATATTGCGATATACTTTGAAGTGAAAAAGGCGATGTTCTATTAGCTATGCTATTTTCACAAAATACGATTCATACTTTTAGTGTCTAATAGTCATATAATTTGAAAATTCTGAGAGAAGTGTACAGAGATAATACTTTTGAATTAATTCTAGGTGGCCTCTTATGCAGTGTGCGATGTAGACGACGGTGAGTTCCGGTACGAGTCGGAAATCGACGAGTACAACCCGAAAGCTACCCGTACTCTGTTCATTGGTAATCTGGAGAAGGACGTTACGGCATCGGACCTTCGGAAACACTTCGAGCAGTTCGGCGAAATTATTGAAATCGACATCAAGAAGCAGGGAGCCGTAAGCTCTTACGCATTCTGTCAATATGCGGATATCGTCAGCGTGGTAAAAGCTATCAGAAAAATGGACGGCGAACATCTAGGCAACAATCGTGTCAAACTGGGTTTTGGCAAGTCGATGGCGTATAGCTGCGTGTGGGTGGACGGCGTTGCCGAAGCCGTCACCGACAAGTACCTGCGCATACAATTCGAACCCTTTGGTGCCGTCACCCGCTGCGTTATCGATAGAGAAAAGGGTCAATCTCTCGTGTTCTACGAGCATGTAGCGCAGGCGCAGCAAGCGGTTAGCAAGATGCGCGGCTTTATGCTCAAGGGCCAGAAGTTACAGGTGGATTTTGCAAGCCGGGAATGCCAGGAGTGTTTCTTTGAACGTCTGGAAAAACAAGGGGCGACGTTGGATCGTACGCCTTTCGAAGAAAGGAGAGAACCATCATCGAGGGCGTTCGATTCATCAGCTGTTTCCAGATTATCAAGGTAAGTTGCCTCATAATTACCAGTGTGTTCTGAGCAGTCAGGGGTAAACATTCGGTATACTGAAATTTACGGAAATTCCCAAGGTCTTGCATCCGGTATAACGTGCTGGCAACTCTTACTTTTGGGTCGGTATTTACATGTGTGGAAGTAAATCGCATAGGGATTTTATTAAGTCGGAGTGAGAGAAATGCGACGGCGTTGCCACATTTCTCCGGTACGCATTTTTCTATCAAGTAAAGTAAAATCACGATCGCAAACCGCTTATTTTTAACAGACTTTTGTTCGAAAAAATAACTAGATAAAATCATTAGATATGTTTCTGAGCATCTAAAATAGAATTATAAGGATATCGTTAGGGTGTCCATTTTTTATAACGATCGAGAAAACATCTGTAATCGCGACAATTTAAAAACTCAACTTTTTAACACAACACGCGATGACTCAAGAAGCACTTTAGTTTATGAAACTTTGGCCTGTTTTTTTTCTATTCAATTTTTTTTTTAAAAACGCATCCATTTTCCTTTTAGTGCATAGCAATTTTTAGCAATCATGTAACTTTTTTATTTATAAGGATTTACACATACTGTCTGCGAAGAAAATATAGCATAAATATTAAAAATGTTTTAAAAAAACTACAATCAAATGTTTCTAATGGATTTCCAGATATCGATTTTTGAATTCAGAGTTATCATAGCGCGACCACTGTCGAACACCAATTCAATTCCACTTATTTTTACCAAAGTTGCACTTGCGCTTAAAAATTTACAAGCTATAGGGAAAATTACAACGACTCGTTAATAAATAAAGAAATAAAGTTTCACTAGAGGTAATTAAATCGTGAAGCTGAACGCATGATGTACACTCTTCCCTAGAATTTTAAGTATTGATATGCTATTGATTGAGTCGACCGCGACAAATCTGCTATATCCCCTTCCACGTCTCTTAGCAATGTGCACAGTTTCTCGGTTTATTTCGTACGTTTGGCAACGTTTTACTGCCCTCTCTTTGTTCAGTACATTATAAACGCATATTGCTCTTCTTACATACGGAAATCTCGACCCAAGACTAACCTTTGGCAGCCCTTAGTATATTTAATAGGTAAATAGTGAATATATTGTACTCAGTATACTTACTTTGTTAATTTAAGGTACAAATTATGCTTTAACAAGTACTTTAACAAAACTGTTATTAACTGGTTTGAATTTTGCAACTAACTGCTCCACGGCAACTTGCATTGGTTGACATACTGCGATTAAAAATTATACCAATGTTTTTGGTGCAATTTAACTCTAAATATTATATTTTTAAGGGGTATCTTGAAAGCAGTAATAAATATTATGAATATTTTAATAGCTTTATGGAATAAAAATATTGTAATAAATCTATTGCAATCGTAATAAAAGTTCGATATAAAAGTTTTGGTCTCTAATATTTTCTGAGTTCTGACAAATTTGGCTTCTGGCTTCTAACCTATTGTATATTTCTTTTTTTTTTAATGGTTACCGAAAGTTATCTTCTTTTGAAGATGATTTACCGGTAGTATTCTACGTCTACGCGTTTTTGTTACATTTGAACCGATAATGCAATCCCTAACAATAAATAATTATGATTTTATTTTGAAAGGTATGACACCCCGACAAGACCGAGAACCTCCAGCTATTCTAGTCGATCTTCGGTGGCGGCCGTGGCCTCACCGGGCACACCGGGAAACGCCACTCCCAGAGCGGGACGAACGCGAGTCGCCAGGTACTACGAGTACGACATGGACTACGCATCCGTGGAAGGAAGGCACGCCACGCATCGCAGCTACGACGAGTACAGCCAAGGATCGGCGGCTTCGCACGAGGATCCCTACGATCCTTACGACCATGGGCAATATTTACACGATAGCCCGGGTCATTTGGATCCGCTGGAGGTTAGTTTAATATGGAAACTGAAATTATACGAGATTTTTGGTTGTAATGATTTTTTATGTATGTATTATGGATAATAGAGGTAAGGAGAAACATCTCTTATGAGACTTGGTTTGAGAAAGTGATTACTTAAAATGGGGAAATAAGGGTTCACTAAATGTCTACAGTGGCGCTAATAAGCAATAAGGGATAGAACTGAACTTAGCGGTTATAAATAAAGTGAAGATAGTCATAAAGAGAGACAACACGCGCTTACAGAAAACGTATATTTATCTATCTTTCTTTAATGGTATTTCCTGTTTTATTTTTTGGCGCTTCTTTCAAATGTAGAACTTTTGCTGCAGCAGCGCCATCTTAATTGTCGCTGTCTTTGATGACCACTTTTCAATACACGAAGATAATTCTTCTTACCTCTACCCTCCATAGTATGTATGTAGAGGAGAATCAATTTTGAGAGAATTTCGAGAATCAATTTTGAGAGAATTTCGAGAATCAATTTTTAGAGAAAAAGGGCTCGCCTTAGAAACAGCATCATAGGTGTCACCCCGGGCTCGCCTATGTTTAGAGCTATCTAATGATTATTACCATAATATTATTTTCACAATAATTAGCTTTACATATTTACAAGCTTTATACTTTTGAAATAGTACACTTTTGTAGTAAAATTCCATGTTTCTTCAATTTCATAACTGTAGGTAAAATTTTCACTGTACAGGGTGTCCCATTTTGGTTGAAATTATATGATATCTTCGATATTAGTGAAGTTAGAAGTACGTCATACGGAAGATGCTGTAAACAAAATGTTCATAGCCCTCTTCGATTGTGAGCTACAGGGTCTTTTTGAATATTTTGCAATTTGGGACACCCCTTCTATTTCTGTTATTGTTAAAGATATTGAAAAGGTGAAAACTGTGTATTGTAGAACTATTTACGTAGAATACAATGGCGTAGTATGTTATTCTATAAAAAGAACATTTTAAAAGATATGAACTAAAGTTGTTTTCTTAAATGGAACACCCTGTATATTTATAAATTATATGATCTGGCTTGCCATAAGCTTCTCAAAAATATATATCACTCTATATTTATTTTCATTATTTACTGCAATATTTAAAAGTTTTTTTATTAAAAGATCATATTTGTTAGTAGGCCATGATTAATAATAAAAGAAACTAAAGAATTATTAAAATTATATATATACTGCTATTTGTCTATTGTTTTATATGATGGCCTCCCTGATTCCCGGATTTGTCCGTTCTTAATTTCTGATGTTGTGGATTTTTGAAATGAAATATATCATGGCAACTACAACAATGTTGAACACCTGGAAAATGCTTTAATAATGCAAGCTTTTAGATATTTGCAAACCCATCCCATTATAATAAATTCCGTTATAAAAAATAAAAATATATTCAGAGATTCAGTGGTAACAGTTCAAAAGTAAAATTTATCAATCCCAAATAAAATTTTGATATGTGTATGACTATTTTAGTACCATTTTGATTTTTTGTTATTTATCAAAAGAAAATGATATATTTTAAATATTCCAGTAAATAATGAAAATAAAATAGAGTGATATATATTTATGAAAAGCTCAAAGCAAGACGGATTATGTGATTTATAAATGTACAGGGTGTTACATTTGAAAAAACCTAATTTTAGTTCATATTCCCCAAAAAAATTATAGAAAAACAAACTACACCACTGTATTCTACGTAAAAAGTTTTACAAGAATCGGTTTTCACTTTCTCGATATCGTCCACAATAACGGAGATACGGGGGCTGTCCCAAATTGCAAAATTTTAAAAGACCCTGTAGCTCAGAAACGAAGAGGGCTATGAAAATTTTGTTTACAGCATCTTCCGTTTGACAAAAAAAGGGACAGGTTTGTGCAAACCGCATCCTCCTATCTTTACTAATAACGGAGATACCGTATGATTTCAACTAAAATGAGACCCTGTATATGCTAGTCTGTAATCCATTTTACCTCACAGGTAAACCTTTATGTCTTGAAATCGAATACTTGGAAGATTTTTTTTTATTTTTAAATGGTCGTTTTACCCCATCTCAAAATTGACATCTCCAGTTAAAAATCACGATCTATATAATCAATTTCCTCGTATACTCGAAATACATGCAACCTTATAACGTACCGTTGTCGTAGTCAAAAGTAATAACCGCTGATTTCTTAAATCAAGTACCCATTCTTACACCACCAGGTGCGTGGTCAGAACCTGGTGGAGCCCGTACCGTACGCTCCGCACGACATCCGCAATCTGCAAAAGGAACGGGTCCATCTTCTGGAACAGCTGGAGGAGTGCCCCAGTTCGGGCGACGAACTGATCAGTCCGAAGAAGCGGCTGAAACTGGACCTGCTGGATACCGCCATCGCGGGTGACGTCATCATCGAGGCGAACCGAGATCACAACAGAAAGGTAAAGGTAGGGCCACGTAGCAGGGAGTGTTTTGTTTGTTTTCTTGTGCTGTGGTGGTGCATAAGGTCGTGGGGCTTACGGAAATAGCTGGCTCTCAAATTTAACAAACTACTAATTCTAAAATAAAATTAGGTCTGCCTAACTTTATTAGAGACACCCATTTGACTAGATTTTTGACATCAAACTGGCTAAATTGCCGCCGGCGGTATAGACAATTTATAGATGGTATAGACGGTATAGACTATAAAATAATTAACTAGAAAGAAGTGTCAACTCTGTGTTAAGTCGTGGAAACACGATACGCCACCGAAAGCCTTCGTTGTCGTCTGGAGAACTAATTTTCCAATTGACAGGTTGACATGATGGCTTCATTTTTATTTCCGTTTCCGGTTATTCAATGGCGGGCACTCTTTCAGTTTAAATGTATTTTGTACTCTTTCTTATCATAAATAAAACAAAATAAAAATTTATTCAAACATATTTATTTGAAATATGAGACAACGTCACTAAATAAATATAAAAAATAAAGAATTGATTGATTTCTATATCAATTACTAAATTATATGCAGTTTTAACGTAAATTAGTAAGGTATAAGCATGACTTAAGTAATTTGTAAATAAATACACGTATTCACAGCTTTCAGGGACAGAAAACGAGGGCAGAAACATGAAAACAGGAGCCTTATATAAAAACCTGAAAACAGAAAAACAATTTTTTTTATACTAAAATAAACGAGGTAAAAATATCAATAGGTACTTATAAAATATAAATATACTATTAAAAAAAAGCGTGCATTATTCCCAAAGAGACCTGGGGCGCTATTCTGTACAATCGTCGGTATCGGTAAGTTACCGACAGCTATCGATATGTATTTGTATATAGTAAACATGTGTTAATTGTTGTTGTTATAGTTACCGATCGGTCCTATGGCAGATATCGCAAATGTGTACCGACGAAAATCGGTATCTCTACCGTGCCCTTGTTAACCTCACGGTAGAGATACCGAGAGTCGTCGGTACAAATTTGCGATATCTGCCATAGGGCCGATCGGTAACTATGACAACAACGATCAACACGACGCTCATTGGGCGTACGTACCGATAGCTGTCGGTAACTTACCGATACCGACGATTGTACAGAATAGCGCCCCTGGTTTATAAATCGAAAAGAAGGAAAAAGAGACTTTAGTCGGATAACAATCAGATTGTATCAGTCAGATTTATTGTATTATTGACAATAAATCGCACATACTGGAGATAACTAATGTTCGCTATAGTTAAAAATGATCTTACCTTGCTGTAAATTGTTTCCATTTTCAAAAAAATCGCCGATCATAAACATATAACAAAATTTTCTTGCATCTAAAAAATATAGAAATAGTGTTTATTTACTACCTATTTTTAATATACATGGGACATACCTAGTACTGCAGAAACTAGTGTTGGGAAAATTCGAATTAAATAATACGACTAATTCGATAGTAAATTAAAACTAACTAATTCGATTATCTTTTTCGATGTAATCGAGATAAAAATTAGTAGCATTTTATATTATATCTGTGGTAACCGAATTACAAATGAACATAAAACATAACCTCTTATGGACGAATATTAGTAATTAGTCAGAGAATTAGTACTATTAGTAGTATTCTTTCGTTCTGAACGAACTGAAAATTTTCACTTAAACTGATTTATAAAGGGAATCGACAAAGAAAGGAACGATCCGATATAGAAAAATCCAGAAATCATTGTTATTTCCTATACCACGTAGGAATAAATCAGTTTATATTTTAATTATCTATCATCACTGATAAAATAAAAAGAAATACGAACCGCACGTAAACAAGGACATACTTATATCGGAATAGGAATTGAAATGTTTATAAAAGGTCATAACAATAACTATCATAAACTCGGCACTTTTAAATTTAAAACTTTAAATTATGGTTTAATTTATTAAACGGCTTCGGCACAGTTAATAGAATACATTGAATAAAGAATATATTTTTTTTATTCTTTATTCATTGATAGAATATAGGTATGGCAATGGTTCAGAATTTGTTTAAAATAGCCCCTAGACGAGCACTAGCTGGGACGAATTTATTTTTAGGTTAAATTTATAATTCTACTAAATAATTCGAATTATTAATTCGATTGTGAAATATAAATTATTACTAATTATTCGATGGTGAAAATAATTCGATTATTCCCATCACTATTTTATGTCTGTCTATAGATCTAGCAATCAAAACACGTTTTTCGTTTTTCTCTGTTGGATTCATGCGCATCCGATTGTTTTGAATATTTTAGAATTTTCTACAAATGTCAAATATTAACGACAGCTCGGTTCTAAATCTATTTCACAGGTGGCACACTTCTCCGTAAGTGTGGTTATCTTATCATCTGTTATGACATGATTGTGTTCTTTGATAAACAGAGACAACTAGATCCTATAATATTAATGCTGTCTAACGCTTTTTTATGTTAATCAAATGTTATAATAAATAAAATAAATTAATAATGCACATTAACTACACCAATAATAACAAATACTTTTGGTAAGAATTAGAAATGTTTACATTAAGAAGTTTGTTAAATAACTTTTTTGAAAAGATTTTACATATTCATTCTATAATTGATAATAATAATTCTAGATGTTAATGGGAATTTGCAGTTAGTATTTTTTTATTAATAAAATAATTTTAATCCTAGGTTGTATCTTTTGTCTCATTTTAGGTCTTTATTTGTTTTTATCTCTTAATTTCTTATAGTGCGAAGATTTTGCATTTTAGAATTTTTCAGTACATATTAGAAATTCCTAAGATTTATTTTTCAATAACGATACATTAAATGAAAAACTTTGAATGTTCACCGACACCTTTTAAAATTGAGCTAAAAATCCTGTCTTCCGGGGATATCTTTTTCTAGGTTATTAGGTTCATTCTAACCCATAAATTCCATAGGTTAGTTTTTTAGGCTCACCCTACTGTACATATACATACTTACTGAAAAATAAATTTAATCAATTGCCACTGGCACTATATTTTTCACTAAATATAATATGATATTAATAATATAATATAATTATTAATATAATGGATAATAATTGGATTGTCCTGAAGAACTTGTAATAGCATAAATACTTTTAAATTAGATCTAAACACAATTGTCACTGTAATATATTATTTCACTGAACATTCTATACTTACCTTTAACAATACCTACAAATTATAATTCATAACTATAACTGAATTGTGCTGAAAACCTTACAATAACACTGTTAGGCTTTGCGCTTGCCGGCAATTTTTAGTCGGCCGACTATTTTGTTTGATTTGTAACCAATGTTCTGTTTTATGGACCCCCGCTCACGCGCTATCAAATAGTCGGCCGATCGGCTCCATAACCGTTTTGTAACTAAATAATGGGCCGACTAAAAATTGCCTGTGCGTAGTCTTAATTTTAAATTGAGTGATTTGTTCTTTATCTTTCAATCCCACAGTATCACTAACTTGTCTTTGCAGGTTATGGATGGTCGAAGATTGTCCGAATCAGCGTTACGTCACCACTCACGAAGACCTTCGGTTGACAACAAATATGGTAACCACTATGTCCCTCACACAGTCGGTTGTAAAAGACGACGAACAGCTGGTAGTGACAATGGTGCAAGAACAGGGGGACATTCGCATTATGTAAGCATACTTTGCTTTTTACTTTTTTTTTTATTTATTATGAATACAGATAAGAAAATTATGATGTAATTTTGAGTTGCAGTTAATTAATTCTCTTATAATAATAAAGCCCAAAAAACTGCTAATCTGTTAGGAGTCTGATCGGTATCGAAATGTAGAGCGTTAATAAAATATCGTCAATGCGGAAGAAGAGCGAGATTTTTGAGATTTATTGCTGTACAAATTAAAAATCATTCAAATTTTATTCTGGAAAACTGTTTATAGTTCCCATAGAAATCACTAGAGTGCGCTGTGAGAAAATGTCCCTTAGTTTGATGCAGCGTATGGGAAAGACCGACACAACTTTAGTTGGCACTCCATAGTTGTATCGTGAACGCCTGCGCGTTGTGAGAAAAAGTGTCACATTTTAAAATAAACAATACGTGAATTATATTAAAGACGGTTTTGTGCATGGTGGACTGAGAAAGAGTGTCACATCTGAAAATAAAACTGTTTTTATATATAGTTTAAAAGAAAATTATTACAGAATTTAATTTTATTACAGAACTGTTTTTTATAACATTTTGTATTTCTTTTTTTTTCTGAAAAAAGTTACTTCTACGACGACAAAAAAAATAAATATTGTTTTATTGTTACATCTCAAAAAAAAAGTTTAGTAAATGAACAATACAGTCATATCTCAAAAGCGGGGGACAAAAAAATATATATTGGGGAATAGATGGAAATTTTTTTATGTTAAAAGCAAGGCAGAACCAAAAGGTTTTTCTTAGTTTAGTTTGGTGGCATGGCAAATGCTAAGTAATGATATTAAGACGATTATCATTTCAGTAAATTTTAAATTGGCCCTTCTGAAAATTGTGTTTTTTTGAGATGTGACGCTCTTCTTCTGCATTGACGATATATCATTTATGGGTAAAATAATTACTTGGACTTGATTATTATTAATCCAGTAAATAAGGACACGAAAAGACCCAAACCTCGGCTTAATTCGTCAACCATGAATTTTTAGGATTTACCTACGACCATGACCTTTTGTGGCCGTGGCCGGCCGTAGCTTCAGCGTTAGTGTGTCGATCTGCGGAGCGGAAGGTACTGGGTTCGATCCCCAGCCAGTACGGTCGCTTTATTTATTTAAATAAAAATATTTATTTATCTAAATAGAGCGACCAACGAGCCGCCACCTCAAGGAAGGCAATGGCAAACCACCTTGAGTATATTTGCCTTGTACAGCTTCTCAAATATAGTGCCGTTCGGATTCGGCGATAAACTGTAGGTCCCGTGTACTTGTGAAACACTGATGACACACATCACAAGTACATGCGAGAGGTAGCCGACGCTCTATATAGAGTATGGCACTGTAAGAAGATGACCTTTTGAGGAGTATAGGGGAAAAATTGTAACATCGTGCATGGCCACTTTGGCCGAAAAAATGGCGCCAAATGCCTGAAAATCAGTTTTTTCGCAAATATCTTCCAAAATATGCAATTTACAAAATTTTTCTTGAATGATAAAAAATGTAGCTTACATCTACAAGAAAGGCTCTGATACTTTTTTTCGTAAAGTCCCATGAGAACGGTTAAAAACGACCCTAAGGGTTAAATAACGGGGTTTTCGCCACTATTGGCCGAAATATGGCATGTAGATGATTTTCATGATCGCCATACGAAAGATTAGCTAAAAATATAATCCTGACACTTCTTTTCGTAAAGTTGTTCGTAAAAAGAAACCAATTCGACTATTCGTTAAGTTACAAATGAAAGTTAAAAGTTACAAATAGTTGTTTTTTTATTAAAATGTGATTAAACAAATTCTTCAAATTTTTTGAGTTGCTTAAAGAGACTTTAAGAACTACTGTTAAAAAAAATATTGCCAAATAAACTACTATTAATGAAAATACGAATAAGTTTAGTAAAAATCTGAAAATTTTTAGACCAAGGAAGATTTAGATTGTCCGTTTTTTCAACCTAACCAAAGGATATACCTAAATCCTTTGAATAAGAAGACTAAGGAAGGAGCATAATGCTATCCATATATTCATGCATGGTGGGCGGAAAAAGGACTCTAGGGTGGGGATCCTTGACAGTTCTGTTTGACTATTCATTTGACACATTTGAATTTGATTTGAAATTTTGTGGATTTGTCAGTCTTTACCATAGATAAAAGAAAATAATCTACTATTGTCTTTACGGAACTTATTTTATGTTATTTATTATTTATTCTACTACTGATAGTTGTATAAAGGTAGTAAATCTAGATGGAAATTGTGGCAGAACTTAAATTAACAGTGACACTATCGCGATTTATCGAAAAAGACTCTAAAATAGTTGGTTGCGTAGCGTGCGGTAGATCTCAGCAAAAATCGAGTGAAATAATGGATCAACTTTTCGCTAGTAAGTTACTATACAGGGTGGCCCATCGAAGACGTTCCGCAAGACATAACGGCCAGGATATTTTTTTTTTTCAAAAAATCTAAAAACACGTCAATTTTGTTTGTGAGGGGGACAACTTTTGCCCCAAAAATGATTGCAAAATCTTCAACCCTCTAAGCGGGGGTGTCATCCTCCAACTTTTTTCAAATGGGAAGGGGGGTCAAGTGGCGCCGCAATGAAAAGAGCTTTCTATTCTCTATATTTCCCCGCTTCGTTTTTGAGAATCAGTCGAGTCATTGAGAAAATATGAAGGATTGAAATTTGAGAAGTTTATTTAAACATTTATCAGAGTAAATGATAAGGATAAATTCCTTCGACCAATTTGCTGTTATTTCTAGATGTTTAGGCATTTTTTCACTTGCCACAAGGTTGAACGATCAGGTGCGGTCTCAATATCGTTAAACTGACCCACAATAGAATTTCCAAAAATACCAGCCCGCCACGATCAAAATCGTCTTCGTTGAGTTCTTGTACCAACTGAATTTTGTACCGGTGGAACTTGTGTTTTTTTAATATCGTTTGGACACTTGTACGATTCACGCCGGTCGCGGTCTCATTGGCTAATTTTCTTGTACTCAGCGTACTACCCATGGCAACTTGGCCCAATACGAATACCTCCATAGCTTCATTTACTACAGGATTTTCCCTTTGCCTCTCTTTATTCATAACGGAACCAGTTTCGTGAAATTTTGCTACTAAATCGCGAACAATTTTGCCCTAAAGGTGTTTGTCAGGATGGCGTTCATTGAATATCTGCGCAAACTGATTGCCACATTCATTATTTTTAAAATAAAGTTCGATTATGTCCACTTTTTCTGCAAGTGAGTACACCATACTTGTTAAAAAGTTTAACGATATTGAGAAGAACTTCAACGCACAAGTCACAGGACAGCTATCTAGCAACTACCGCACCTGATCGTTCAACCTTGTGGCAAGTGAAAAAATGCGTAAACATCTAGAAATAATAAGAAAAAACAGCAAATTGGTCGAAGGAATTTATCCTTATCATTTAGTCTGATAAATGTTTAAATAAACTTTTCAAATTCCAATCCTTCATATTTTATCAATGACTCGACCGATTTTCAATGGGACACCCTGTATAATATACATACGTGTAGTAAACCGATCATTTATGAAATTTATTTAAATTAACTAATTATATATTTTTTCTTGTATTTTTGCTTTTATTTACTACTTGTCAAAGATTAGATGTCAAAGAGTTTAGATACGTCAATTTGAGTTACCTGCTTCAGTAGCGTATCGGATGTTTATGGTTATAAATAATTATTATAACTTATCTATTTTTATTAAAATTTTATATTTTTATAACAATTTTAGGCTCTGGTGCACAATAGGTCCCCACGCATTTAACACTTTTTTGGGATTTTTTTGCAAGATTATCTTAAACTGAATATTTTTAAGCATAAAAATTGTTGGATGAATGTGTTTTATCTTTAAAAAGCGGCAAAAAAACGTATTTTAGGTACAGGCGACGGACAGTAAATATGTTAAATTTTCTACACGGATTCAGTAAAAACATCACATATTAGTACTTTATTACCTTATATAGACGTGGAATGATCTAATTTAAGCACAAAATGTAACGAATCTTCTTTGTAAGCATAAAAATTAAGAAAATATATTTATTTACATCAGCTCAAGCTAGCAATTTTATGACTTTTTTCGATTGACAGTTAATCGATCATCGGTATGTCATCTATGGCCTTCGCATAGAATTTGCGACGTTGTCAATAAAATTACTTTATATGATTTTCTTCTGAAATAAAGTTGTTGTGGAGGGACTTAAAACGGTAAGTTATCACTTTAGTGCAACAAAAATTGAACTGTCTAGTAGCTTATTCGTTAGTGTGGATTATTTTAAAGCAATTTCTGAAATAAAATTTGCGGATTTTTCAGGTTCTACGAAAATATAAGTTTTTTTAATATATACTGTTTTTCGACGCGTAATCAATGAAGTTTTGTCATTAGGCTCAATTAGGTTAGCCTGGTTATTTGGAAGGTGGTAATGCATTGGTTAGCCTGGTTATTTGGAGGGTGTTAATGCAATGGTTAGCCTGGTTATTTGGAGGGTGGTAATGCATTGGTTAGCCTGGTTATTTGGAGGGTGTTAATGCATTGGTTAGCCTGGTTATTTGGGGGTGTTAATGCATTGGTTAGCCTGGTTATTTGGAGGGTGGTAATGCATTGGTTAGCATGGTTATTTGGAGGGTGTTAATGCATTGGTTAGCCTGGTTATTTGGGGGTGTTAATGCATTGGTTAGGTTAGGTTGATAGGCTGGTTATTTGGAGGGTGGTAATGCATTGGTTAGCCTGATTATTTGGAGGGTGTTAATGCATTGGTTAGCCTGGTGATTTGGAGGGTGTTAATGCATTGGTTAGCCTGGTTATTTGGGGGTGTTAATGCATTGGTTAGGTTAGGTTAGATAGGCTGGTTATTTGGAGGTGGTAATGCATTGGTTAGTCTGGTTATTTGGAGGGTGTTAATGCATTGGTTAGCCTGGTTATTTGGGGGTGTTAATGCATTGGTTAGGTTAGGTTGGTGGGGAGTGTTTGGAAGTACGCAGATCACATCGATTTCGGAATCTTACTGAACAAATCCGGGAAAAATATATTTTTAAACAATTGTGCTAAATACTGTGTAATGATTTTATTGTCAATTTATTTTTATAGTGTTTTTGTTTTGCCTCGTTTATTATATTTTTAATTTTTCGTGTTCTTAAAGTGCGTACTAAATGTAAAAAAAATGAATATAAAGTAGAACGTTTTCGTCGATTTTACACAGGGTGAGTATGGCAACACTGTGCATAACCTTGTATTTTACTGTCTTTATGAAGGTTATAATAGGGAGTTTTCGCATTGAAATGTAGTGAAAATTTGGAATTTTCAATTATTTTTTTTCGTAGAAAATGTGGTTCATCCAACAATTTTTTTCTTTTAAACCATTCCATTAACTATGGGATCCACACTAAAAATTAAAAAAACCACGATTTCGTGGGGACCTGTTCTGCACAAGACCCACAATTTTAATAACTACCAACATTTATTCACAACGTAAAATAAAAAAAAAATATTGAGTCTACCCCACGTCAAAATTAGAACGGCACTGATAAACCGGAATTTAAGTCCGCCATATTTGAGGCCCATCGCGGTGGACCTAAGATTTTTGATATGCTCCTTCCTTAGTCTTCTTATTCAAAGCCTAAACCTAACCAAATCCAAAATGTGACAGCTGTTGAATGAACTTTTTAAATGAACTTTGAATCATCAAAAAATATTAAATTTTATCCGAATTATTAAACAATTTGTCCGATCAATGATACGCTTATGAAATATATCTTCGGAGCGTTAAGACTTGGAGAGAAAATTGAGTAATCTTTGAGGCGGAATATCTCGAAAACTACTAATTTTACGTAAAAAATGTTGAGAATTATTTTTGTAGGTAATTACATACATAGCTTTATTTTATATTTCAAGAAAAATGTTGTAAATTGCATATTTTGACAGATATCTGCGAAAAACTGATTTTTCGGCCATTTGGGGCCATTGTTACAATTCTTTTCTCTAACACTATTCCCCAAAAGGTACACAATCCGCCTGAAAAGTCCCGGTCGATGAATTAAGCCGTGGTTTCAACTTTCATTTACTGCACTTTATAGAGTTTAAGAAACATTAAAGGAACTAGACTAGAAAATATCTTCTATTACTGCCAAATATAGACGGATGTATTAATAGTTTTATGGATTAATTGCAGAACGAACATTCGGACGGATCCGAACATCCAGGATCCAGACCTGGTACACCTCTCTGCGACGAGAACCCGGAATTTCCTCCGGGGGAACCACCAAAGAGGACGACCAGGGAACGAGAGGGACCACTAATGTTGCCTCTTCCGAAGTTTGCGGCACAGATTCGAGCGACTCCTGAATTCCAGAGAGGTATGTGACTACGGATTTAAGGATTTAAGATTTAACTAATCGAGGTCTTTAAATTCAACCAATAAAACTAATATCGTATCATCGTATCGTCGGACAACGGATGCATGAAAATCAAGCTTAAGTTGACACATGCGTACAAATCCGATGCCGGCGATCCCAATTACCTTTCTAGAACGGTACAAATTTTTGTGTTGGAACAAACCTTTAATATCACTTAACAAAAAAATCTTAAGCTTTGATTATTATTGTGATTTTATAATTTAAAAATTATTTTACAGGAGCTGTATCTGTAGCGGGTATTAAAGGCCAAAAAGACAACGTAAATCCATTGGCTAGTCCGCCCCCCGCAGCGACGAGCCCTCGAGTTTCTTTGCTCCATGTCCGACCTCCTAGTCCTACGCACGCGGTGCCGCCTCCAGCATCACCGCCACCGCGACCTCCTAGTCTTAGTTCAAATTCCAGTGATAGTAAGTACTCCGTATTATACAGGGTAGCGCACCTCATTCGCCTCCGTTGATTATACAAAAACGGAAAGAGGTAGAAACAAAATATTTTATGGGTGTATGTGGGGAGGTAATGTGTACAATTTATAATTATTTTGGAATATGCAGGGGTTTTCAGAACTAAGATCCATACTAAAGTTATATTTTTTTCTTATTGAACACTCGGTATTTTATTTCATTTTTGGATTCTGGGGCCCAAAAATGTTATTTATTATAGATTTGGTGCATTCTCCGCCGGTGCTGCCACCATGCGAGAATATCGTGAACAATCGATCTATACAAATACACAGGTTTAAATAGCGAGTATACGAAAAATTTATTATTTAATTATTCTAAAAGTGTTAGGAAGTATAATTTGTAAAAATTCTAAAAATAAAAAAGTAAATATTTTGATATCTTCGGAAGGTCTAACTTGTATTATAATTTATTATTCCAGTTAAAAACACTTTTTAGATTAGTTCAACTACGGTAGCGACCATAGTTTTAATTACCGGTTTTGCTAGTGAGGCATAATTGGGGCTATTTTGGCTATAACGAAATTTTTTAAAGGTACATAATTATAATTTTAGAAGATGTTCGTAAAATATTTAATCACTAGTTGATTAAAAAAAGTATACCATTAATATTGCAAATTATATTTTATCCTCTCATAGTATGTCTATTTAATTTTTTGATTATGTAACGAGCACTTTATTTACTCACTTGTTTCGTGGAACTGCTTGAATCTTGGACTTATTTTTGCTTTTAATTAAATTGGTATGAGAAACTATGAACCTATAAAATGTTGTTTCGGAAGAGTTGAATATCCGGAAAAGTTGAGTTATTGAATGTTATTGCATCCAACAACGCTCTAATTACGATCTCCTTTACGCGTTAGCATTTTTTCGGCAATTTTATTAACATTTGAAATTGTCACAACACAACATGACGCCTAGTTCGAATTCTTTTTCACTTATTTTTTACTACCCGAAACAGCGTTACAACACACAAACCTCGTACCTGGGTGTTTTATAGTCTCAATAACTGCACTAGCAAAAAACTAAAATACTTAAATATTATGACAAAACCACAGTTTGAATATTATTTTAATGCGACCAACATGCCGGCGCGCGGCGGCGTGAAGTAGGTACATTATGATCATTTCTGATTTTTGCCGTAGAGTACGCTGCGGTCGGAATTTGTTGAAATCAACTGAAATGAACCAGGCCTATAAGGGTTAAATATGTTTAAAATCTTTGGTTTTTGAGATATTAGTAGAAATAACCTATCAACACTCTGTACATTACGTTTCAGAATTAATTCTTCTCCTGAGTTTAAAGGTAGAGAAATAAACTTTGATGAAAATTTTTATTGCTTTTTTAGATTTATACAGGGGTACTAAAATTTTCTGATATATTTTAAATATGTATTTTACATAAAAGCTTTGTTATTTCGTATGCAACACCCTGTATTTTTTAAGAGCAGATTTCAATGCTCTTTCAAACTATACCGGGTGCGTCTCAAAAGTGGCTCACCCCCTATAACTTTTTTATTTTTTCAGATAAAACAACGATATTTAGTATGTTAGTATATGACATAAATTGAGATTGATTGACGCATTCAATTGTTTTCGGTCACTTCCGGTTTCACCAGAAATGACTACAACTTTTGATTTTTAAATAACACCCTCGGTATTTTTTACTTTATTCGATAGAAAATGACACTCTGAATCGAATGATATATCATATGTCAACTTTTGACATTTTGGCATATGGTTTATTTAAAATTGTAACATTTGGTACATAACGACAATTTGACTCAAAATACCAAGTGTGTGGTATCGAATTATTCGTAAAAGAATGCTTTTTCCAAATATGCTAATGAGCCACCCTCGTTCCGCTTGAAAAAATTGAGATATGATTCAAAATACGATTTGGTCATCTTTTAACTGGCCAGGACAAGACTATCAAATCTATTTTTCCAAGGTTCCTTGATTAAAAATTAGTGTTTTTAACACAGCCATGGCACTCTAGATTGAAATTTAAAATAGAATTTGTTTTTGAGCGACTATGTCAAAAATTGACATATGATATGTCATTCGATTCAGACTATTCAGAGTGTCATTTTCTATCGAATAAAGTAAAAAATACCGAGGATGCCATTTAAAAATCAAAAGTTGTAGTTATTTCCGGTGAAACAGGAAGTGACAGAAAACAATTGAATACGTCAATCAATCCCAATTTATGTCATATACTAACATACCAAATCTCGTTGTTTTATCTGAAAAAATAAAAAAGTCATAGGCGTGAGCCACTTTTGAGATGCACCCGGTATTAGTGTTTCCTATACCTATCTATAGTCTGTCCAACGACAAGATCCTTGACAGTGATAGATGTGTCTGTCATTTTAATTTCAAAGTAGTTTATTTTATTTTACAAAGAAATAAGTTGGTACAACTGGAACGCATAGCAGAAAATTAATACATATATTTAAAATTTGACTGACAAGTGATTACTTCAAAATATTGTGAAAAAACTGTTATAAAACTGAAAAAATGTAATTGAGTTATTTTATTTAACAAAAACGGTATGTGATAATACAAAACAAACAAGACACCACATACCAAAAAAATATAAAAAGAACTATTTCTTACTTTCAAGCTTCATGAAACTTCTCGCATTTCGCATTTATGATTATATTTGTCAATATAACTTATGTACATATACAAATTTGTAATATTCGACAGGAATAAATAAAACAACATAAGTAAAACAAACTATTTTATTAATAATAACACTTACCAAATTTTATACTTTAAAGGTTGATTAATTAACTTTAATCTTAATTTTTTTAAACCAATACCTTTTGACATTATTTTTGTGCAGTACTATCGTGTGATGTCGATATTTTACAGCTACTCCAGTTTTTAGTATGATCCTTCTACCATATACGAGATGCACTTATTGTATCTACGACGAGATTGTATACAAACTTTATCGATGGTAACTTCATTGGTGTATAAGACTTTCTGCCTGGGCAGCGAGTATTAACCATAAACTGTGCTCTGGGTCTACAGTTAATTTTCACTCAATTTTTCCTTCACTTGACTTCAAAAGACATAAAACACACGTAATAATACGAATTAAAATGCATCATCTTCAAGTCATCTTCCAAAACGCAGGTGAACGCAGGGTATTTGATAAAAGTTGACACAAAATTATAACCTATAATTTGGCAAGACTTTGACAAGCGTCAAAAATGACAAAAATCTAAAGGCGAGTTCATACGCATCGGCGTCCGTTTGTCGTTCATCGTTCCGTCAAACCAATAAAATTGAAATACGATCTGTCATTTTTTAAATAAACCAATAAAACTGGTTAAAAACAAAAAGACACAACGCATGACGGATTTGTATTTAAAACCATCCATACTTAACTTAAAAATTATTAGAAACTTTTTTTAGTAAAATAAATAGATTGGTATGGGACGTCATCTGCTTTTCTTCTGTCATCGTTTGTCGAAATCTTACCTGAGAAAAGAAACAGAGTTTAGATACCATTTTTTTGGTGTAATATATCATTTCTTTCAATAGGCGATGTTACAAGTCCGTCTTTAGAAGAAAGGATTCGATCTCTCGATGAAAAATATGAAAAATGGTCTGGTAGCAGAACGCTGAGTGCTGCGGGAAACGATGCTCTGGCTCTTCTTGATGCCAATAGGGAAAAATTTCGACTTAGGCATAAGTTGCTAGAAATTCAAGATTTTAAGGTAATTTCTTAATATTAGACAAACCCAGTGAATAAGATTTAAACGTAAATATCTGGAATTTTCAGGAAGTCCAACCATCGGAAATCGTTAAATCTGTAATGGCGAAACGATCGGTATTCGACGAGGATCTGAAACGGTTAGAGAGTGTGGGTGAGAAATACGAGCCAAAAGATTTTGGAATATACCGACTGCCGACGATATCACCCGCTTCAATGGTTTTCTCACCGCCTCCTGTTTCACCGGCACCATCGTCTATTTCCACTGCTCTAAAATTAACAACTACCACCACGCAGCTACCTAAAACACCCACCATGCTGTCGCCACGGTCTTCAGGTAAGGTATTACTTGAGATGAGTTTTGCAACAAGTCACCACCAGGGCTGCAACAAATGGACAAAGAGAGTCAGTTTTAAAAAGACTTACGTCTTAAGTCTTAAGTCATTTCTAAAATCAAAATGATTTAAGTCTTAAGTCAAATTCAACATAAAGTTCAAATGATTTAAGCTTAAGTCTTTGACTTAAGTCATTTTATTTCAAGTCAAATAATTTTTGTAAAGACTTAAATCAATATAAGGTTATTTAAGTCGTTTTATATCTATATTTTTGACTTAAGTCATGATGATATGCAAGTTAAGTCAGTAAAATGATTTAATATAATTATCCTCTAGTCAAGACCATCAGAATTAAATTTAAGTACCTCTTTTAAATGTTTCTATTATTTTTTTTGTATTACTAATTAGCGATTTTCTTACTAAGTATCATATTATTAATTTATTGTAGATACAGATGAGACTAAAACAACTTAAAATAAAACGGTTAATTTTCAGAACAGCTACAAACAAAGATATGTTTTTTTTTTATAAAATTTAACTGATTTTGTAGTACTTTATATGTATCCATTACAGATAGATGTCATGTCTATTAAAAAGTGGTGATGTGTTTTGATCACTAATAAAATAGAGAGTAATATATCGATGGCATAAGCCTGGAGGATTTTAAGGTACTCTTCAATATATTCAAGACAAATTTCTTTCGTTCATTTTTCGGGCTACATAACGGAGTCGGGGATTCAGTTGAAATATAACAGACTCACTACGCACGCGTAACACGACAAATAATCAAAACCGGTTTCGAAAAACTAATATTTTATTTACTAGTGGTATTGAGCATTGTTTTTTATTCTGCTGTGAATGTATTCTAAAATCTGACTTCAGCCTTTTATAAAAAGACTTAAATCTTTTTAAAGACTTAAGTCTTTTCTAAAAAGACTTAAATCTTTTTCTATTTCAGAATAAAGATTTAAATCATAAATCAATTTGAAAAAGACTTAATTTTTAAGTCTTAAGTCAGCTTTCGAAAAATGACTTAAGTCATTAAAAAGATTTAAATAAAAAAAAGACTTAAGTTTTCTGTCAGCTTGCAGCTCTGGTTACAACTTATTATATCTTCAGAACTAGCCATTACCAATTTTAATAAAATTAATAAAAACATAGTATTCACGATATTTTGCAGTAAGTCTGTGACTTCTTAAATAACTGGTCAATTTTCTGTTTAGGAGGTGGAATAAGCATCCCAGCGACCAGAGGCCTCCAGTACCCTTTTCCCAGCCACCCGCCGGTGCTGATGTCGCCGGCACCGACCAGCAGCTCGACGCCAACTACACCAACAAGTACTACCGTTACTGCGCGGAGCGTGAACCCCGGTGAAAATAGACTGAAACCGACGGTCAGCGTTCCCGGTGACTCACGGACTTCTAGTGTTAAGACTTCTTGTGTAGCGAACGTTAATAGTGGCGGGGCGAAACCGAAAACCGGGGAAAAAGTGTCGTCGCGACGGAATTCCAGTTCGAACACCTCGCCGCGAGCGGACGTCAAAACTCGTCGAAACAGTGACACTAGTGCGCGTCGAATAGAAGAAGTAGCCGCGGAACAAGAGGAGAAAGAACGACTAGAAAAAGAGCGGCGCGAAAAAGAAAACGAACTGGAAAAACAGCGACTGGAAAAAGAACGCATCCAGCGGGAGAAGGCGGAAAAGGCAGAGAAAGAGCGACAAGAACGAGTGCGGCAAGAAAAGGAACGGGCTCGTTTAGAAAAGGAACGGTTAGAGAGAGAACGATTAGAAAGGGAAAGACAGGAGAAAGAACGACAAGAAAGAGAACGTCTTGAGCGGTTAGCTCAGGAACGACTTCAGCAAGAGATAGAAGAGCGAGAACGAAAGGAACGCGAAGAACGAGAAAGGAAAGAAAGGGAAGAGAGCGAACGGAAAGAGAAGGAACGCCGTGAACACGAGGAACGGGAACTACAAGAAAAACTAGATCGTGAGCGGCGGGAACGTGAGGAACATAAAACCAAAGAGGAAGAGCATCGAGTGGTTAAAGAGAAAGAGCGACGGCGCAGCGAAGATCCTACTCGACACAAAGATTCAGACAATCACCACGAACGTCTTAATTCGAAGCATCGTGAGAACCACAGCGAAACCAAACACAAGGAGAACAATTCCCATCACTCTAATGAGAAAGACGAGAATCACCGACGCGAAGGTGATCGTCCTCGACACACCGCCGAGACTCGACATTTATCCATCGATCTAGAAAAGGGACCAGATCCTACAAGAAGAAAAGAGCGCAACAATAGTCTACCAGCGGCCGTAGGTCTTAAACGACGACCTAGTTCACATGAAATCACAGACGGATTAGATGAGGCGAAGAAAATGCGCCTCGCGCACGATCATAGGAAAATATCCGATAGGCGTGATTCGAAAGACAGTGCAAAGAGTGATGAGAAAGTGAAGAAAAACAAACATAAAAATAACTTTTACGAAAAACACAACAGCGGGACGAAAGAAAGCGAAGAACGGCGGCGAGAGCGGGAGCGCGAACGTGAAGAGCGTCACAAAAAGTACAAATTAGATAAACTGAAGGTGAAAAGCAAAAGTCGAGAGAAAGACGCTAAAGAAACATCTTCGACACCACCCGCCTCTCTTACCATCACTGATAAAGACTTTTTAGCGAAACTTAATCTAAAATCTAACGAGGAGATCGAACGTGAAAAACAGAAAAAGGATAAAGAGAGCAAGGATAAGCGCGTTGACGTACGTTTAGAAGACAAACGATGCGACGATAAAATAAAAAAGGAGAAGCATTCTTCATTTGACACCAAAGAGAATATCAAATCACCTCAAGAGGACTTAAAGACCAAAACCGATGATCGGAAGGGACAAGAAAAACATTCGATTTTTGAAGTAGTCAACGAGGAACCGCCTTATATTTCCATGTACGATAAGGTGAAAGCTCGTAGCTGTAAAAATATGCAAAAACAAGAAGAAGAAAAACGGCAAGAGAAAATAAAAGCGAAATTTAGTCAACTGAAAGAACGAAGGGCGCGACGCGAAGAAAAGAAACGTTCCACCTCGTGGGACGAGGATTCTGATTCTGAAAAAGAAATTGAAGTAAAATTGCGTCGTGGCAGGAAAGTACTGGATAGTTCAGACGAAAGTCAGGAAAGGAAAATTCATCACAATCGTAAGGAGGTTTTGCATTCCGATTCGGATAATTTTCTGTTGGTTCGGGCAGTTAAAACAGAGCAATTTGAAACAACCGATGACGAAATCAAAACTAAACATCTACCTTTTAAAACCTCCAAATCCCGTATTGCTAGTGATACTTCCGACGATGAATATGGTAACGCCAAATTTGCTAACAAAATAATATCCAACGATTACCATGACAAAAAAGTTAAAGAAATTTTCTCAGAAAATGAGCCTGAAATTGAAATTAAAACCGAAAAGATTACATCAGTCAAATGTGAAATTGAAAGGCTAGTTAAAAAAGAGCGAAGAAATAGTAAATTTCAAGACCTTGCACCTGAACAGACCATCAACTCCTTACACTCTGATGTTGAAGTGAAATCAGAGAAATTCGATAGTAAACATATTTTTGACAATACAACTGATGATGATATGAATGAAATTAGAAAGGACAAAGCAGAGCGTCGGGAAAAGAAACACAAAAAGAAGCAAAAAAGGCAGAAGCATTCCGTTAGTAGTGAAGAATCTTGCAAACTAGAATCGGAGGTGAGTGTAGGAGAAGAAAAAGAAAAGAAACATCACGAAAAGAAGAAGGATCATTCGAAAAAGGATAAGAAACGCGAAAAAACTAGAGATGGCCGTGAAAGAACAAAAAAATCTAAAAAGAATAAAGCAGAAGATAAGGGAGAGTCCAAGCGGGAAGGCAAAATGGAAAACATTTTTGGATCATTATCGGATGACTCGGAAAGCGGTCATAAGGATCAAATCACATTTTTAACCGACGAAAATGCCCAAGAACCGGTTGTATTTAATACAGATTCTGAGAGAGAACCGGACAATAATGTACACGAAGATCGAGAGACTGAACATAAAAGAAAGAAGGAAAAGAAGCGAAAAGAAAAGGAGCGAAGATTACAAGAGGCCGCAGCCGAAGCGGCTGCAGCTGCCGCCGAAGAACCTCCCAACAGTAACGATAATAGCATGGACTTGGCAGATATGTGTAAGCAGTTGGAAGCTAACATTAAAGATGACACCTCTGAGATGGAATATAAAACTGAAGTGGAGAGCTCAAACTTAGAAACATCTGATAATTTTCCTTTTACTGAACATGATATCAAAAAAGAAAAAGACGAACGGAAAGAAGGAAAAGAAAAAAAGAAAAAGAGAAAAAAGAGCAAAGATGAGAAGAAACATCACCACCATCATCATTCAGAAAAAAGCAAGAATAAGATTATTGAAGTAAAACCAGAAAAGACATTGCAAGTTGACCAATCTGAACTAATACCCGATATTAAAGTAGAACAAGTTGATACGACTGTATTTTCTCCATCTCATCCTACTCATGGCCAAAGTTTACCTAGTCTGCTGGATGTTCAAAGTCCGAAACATGAAAAATCTTCTGACTTTGAAATATCACCTAGTACTCGAGAAATAGCACCACTTATAAGTCCAATTCCTAGTACACCTACTAGCACAAAACCGAAAAAAGAAAAATTAATACCGGGTTTTGGAAGTGAGGTTGATGAAAGTGTGCACGAAAATGCAGTTAAATCTATATGTAGCGAATTTGAACCGGTAATTAAAACAGAAGATGTACCAGTAAAAGAAGAGAGTAAAGAAGTCGTTTTGGAATCGCCAGAGGAAAAGCCTAGGGTAGTAATTTCACAAGAAGAAACAGAAGACGCTGTGGCCGCATTACTTGGTGAGAGTTTTGGAGGTAATCAGTTCGAAGAAAGATATGATGAAGATATTACCTCTACCACAGAAGAGCCTGTACCAGAACTTGTAGAAGAAAGCAATGTTGAAGATGATGAAGAAATGCGAAAGGCTGTTCAGAGTTTAGAAGTAGAAGATGATATTACTAAACCAGACACACCACAAAGTGAACACGAATTGCAAATAGATACAGATACAGAAGAGCAAGATGAGAATAGTCAAACAGCTGAGCTACCACCTAAAACTCCTGAAGTGGCTTCCTTTCGACCGAACAAAACACCAGTTACAACATTTTTTCCCGAAAAAGATCCTATTGCACCATCTGTGGGTAGTTATAAATCGTTGGGTAGTCCGCCTTCTTTAACACCAATAAAGTCCGGAAGTTTTCCAGAAGTAAAGAAAAATCCTGTTACAGATAAGATACCGGTATCAATAGAGAAGCAACAAAAGTCCGTTATTGCACAAACTTGGCCTATTGATAGGAAAGACGTTACTGTATCGGAGGCTGTGACAGAGACCAAATCGCAAGTTATTATTGCCACCTCCTCATCTACTTTGAAGACTTTTGCCGCCCCATCTACAGTAAAAGCTAACGAGCCTAATTATCCTCCATTAGCCAAGTTATCACCTAATATAGATATGAAGATCCAACCATCTAACGCTATTTCCACTTCTACTAAGCCTCCCGTTATGTCGCAACTTCACAATCTTCCTGCTCGATCGCCTGTACAGATTTGCAAACCGGCTACAACTGAGAGCATGCTGCCTTCAAGACCAACTAATATTCACCTTAATCGACTGCCAATTACTCCAGTTATAGTTTCCAAGCCTCTTCAAGCATCAACTATTTACTTATCTCAGCCTAAAGTGGCCCATTCTTCAGAACCACCAAAACTAGTTTCCACTGTCGATCCAAGATCACAAGATCGATCGAGAATGGTTCTTCAAACCTATGAACCATATTCGCCAGGTCAACCTAGAATGTTAATGCCAACAAATATTCGACAGCTACCGCCAAGTGGACTTCTTGTGCCGACTCGTCATTTATCTCCGTCAGGCTATGGTCAGTTTGTCGGTAACATACCTCATGCGACCTGTCCACCTAAAGAAATACATAATATTGAAGGGGCTACCAACACACCTAATAATACAACAGTTGAACAGATTAAATCTACTATAGTACTCGCCGGATCCCATGGTGCTCCTTTAGTCAATTCTAGAACATCTCTTGCTGGTTCTGTTATGATGAACCCACCACAATTGATTCTTACTAGTCCTAAAACAATTCAAAACAATCCTGTTTTAAGTCCCAGATCTTGTCCATCTGCAAAATCGCCTAACTCTAGTCAATCAGTTGTAGCACCATCTACTGAAAAACTAAGTCCAAAACCAATGGAAAGGCAAAGTCCAAAACCAATGGAAAAACTAAGTCCAAAACCAATACCAGTCATAATGGAGAGTACGCAGAATGTTTCAGCGTCTGAACAGCCTGCCTCGGTATCCTTCCCTCCAAAAGTTACTACGCCTGATAACGTAAAAACTAACGATATAAAACCACCTAAAGAATTAATTACTCCATCGGTAGTTATTCCATCTCCAGACTTCAAGACATTCACACCAAGTCCTGTCATTGTTCCCAATCCAGAAATAAAGGTCGAAAATTCTACTTTAGTTCATGCCACTAAATTAGCAATAGAAAAGGTTACTGAAGAGCTTAACTTATCACTTGCGAAGAGAGAAGATGCACTAAATATTAAAGATGATGTGAACAATGAGCAAATTTCAGTAAAGGAAGAAATTAAAGACGCTGGAAACATTAATGATAAACCTAGTGAAGTAATCAATGAAAACACAACAAATTTAACAAACGAATTAACACAACAAAATACACCAAAGGATGAAAATAAATCTGATGTCTCTATCAAGAATGAAATAGCCGAAACAAAGTCAGTTGATACAGTTCAAGGAGATAATAAACCTGATATTACGAATTGCATATTAAAAATGACCAAAGAGGAGGACTCGTTGGAAACGAAAGAAGATAATGAGTTTTGGTCGGCTAAAGATTCAGTTAACATCGATTCTGTAATTAAAACTCTTGGTTCGGCTGATGAACTTTCTGATACAGACCATAAAGAACAGCAGGTGCCTTCTAAAGAAAACGAGAAAGAAGATAAAGAATGTATCAAAGAGCCTGAAATTAAGCAGGAGGAGGACACAAAAGTTGAAGAGGAATCTGATGTTAATGAGGCTGCAATAGAGACAGAAGAAAATTTGAAAGTGGAGCCGTCAGTTACCCGCAGTAGTGCACGAAGGGGGAGAGGTGGACGGCCCCGGGGTGGTAGATCAAAAACTACTGTAGAACGAGGTAGTATTCAAACGCGAAGAGGAAAATTAAAAGAAACTCAACAGTCTAGTATAACAACAAAGAGAGGACGCGGTGGGAAACTTAGAACTGAGAGAAAGTCTAGCAAAAGTGAATCTGACACGACGCCCAATGACGTTTATGAATTCCGAGACGATTCGGATGACAGCAATAAGGAGCAACGACCCCGTTTGGTGCTTACTATTAAATCTACAACCTCTAGTACTAGTAATCATCAAACCACCGCAATTGTCAAGGAAATCACACGTGATGGTGCTAAAGAAATAGGTAAAGATTCATCACCGCCTCCGCCAAAAAATACATCAGATTCTAAAGAAGAATTCACTTCGCCTCAAGCGAATACCAGAAAGTCGAGACGACTCGCCGAGAAAGATATATCGCGTAATACCGTCGATGATACGATTGAAGAAGTTGTGTATTTTTCACGCCCTAAATCGCAACGATTGGCCGACAAAGATGGATCACGTAATAACGTAGATGATACGATCGAAAATGTTGTGTATTCTGGACAACGTGCTCAAACTCCACAAACACGTGCAGCTGCTGCTCAACGCCGTTCTGGGCGTCAGGTTAAAAAGCCGCAGCCGTTAATTGCTGAAAATGATACTCCACGCAAAAGTCCGCGGGGAAGAAAGCCTTTACGACGAGGGTCGGAGGCAGCAGAAACATCGTCTAGTGAAGAAACTAGAGATGATAGACCTCGATCGGCCGAGTTACCCCTTCCGAAATCCCCTGAAAATGTGTCTTCGTCTGATGTAGAACAAACACGTGATACACCATCACAACCTGTTGAACAGAAAAAAATAGATCATTGTAGTTTAAAGATCGCTATGCTAAAGAGATTTAAGGGTGAGATGATCAACTTAGGGAAACCTGAACCTACCAACCTCATTGATCCGGTCACTGGGGTGTTAACACCCATGCGGGAAAGCGAAGAAGGTAAATATATACCCTTACCAGGTAGTTCTCCAGGTGATAAGAAACCAGATCCGCCAACTGCTAAACCTGTTATCGAACCAGTTAAAACAATTGTGGGAACACAACTACATCAAGTAACAGTTGTACAGCAACAAATTCCAAAAGTTCATCCGCTGAAAGCACACGTACTAAGCAGTCAAGCTGCCAAAGCTGTAGTGGGGGAACAAACACCTCAGGTTGCAACTACACAAATTCCATCTGTACCTCAAAATGTTGTAGTAACCAAAATTTCACAAATAACTGGTACCCAAAACACTACTGTATCTACATCTGGAAATATTCAGACAGTGGGACCAATGTCACCGCGTCCTGGAATTCCTGTAGCAGTTACAACAAAGTTTCAAGTTAAACCACCTGTACTGTCTCCAAGTCAGCAACTGTTACAGCAATTCCCTAATCAGAAACATATATTACCAACTCGGGAACATATTAGTCAACAGCAATCCAGTGTTCATGTTAGTTCCTCGATCACTCCGCAGCAAGCGCAGATTGCCATGGCTCAGATGAAACATAACGTGGAACCACAAGTCATTATGGCCGCTAAAGGATCCGTGGGGAAGCCTGCTGCCCTTCAGCATCTGCCAGGACCAATACCAGCTAGTCCTCCAGTTGGCAAGACTCAAGTAGCCAATAGGGCAATGCAAGTACCACCGTTTCAAGCTAATACCAAAGGAGTTATGGAACCTCCAAAGGTAGACGTCAATCTTCCCAATTTGATGATGGGTCGACCAAGTTTGAGCCCTTCCGGCCCTCAAGCTAGGTTGACTGGATTACCAGGTCCTCCATATGAAGCTAGTTTGGTATGTATCTACTTTCTTCTCTAAATAATAAAAAAAATATTACGTGTTTTAAGACTAAATCACTAACAATTTTTTGCTCTCACTAACCATTCAGATGGCTGAGGCTTACTATAACAGGAGTAGGAGTCCTCCCCCCGCCCATCAAAATTCTCCACATTCTCCTAAGGTGATTTTTTGTCAGCCTAAAGAGTTTTTGTTGTTCTTTGTTTTCATTTTTGTTTTTCTTCAGTTTGCATACATTTACAGTTTTTAATAGTCATTGAAATAGAGCTTCAACTCGGTTTAATGAATATATTTTTTTAAATTTATGCTCTTGTTGATTGTATGTATCTGTGTTCTGTGTATGAATTATATAATTCATGATAGAGAATATTAAGTAAAATTTGAAAAATTTATGAAAATTAAGAATGGTTATTTCAATATTTGCGAATGAGTGGTGCCACGGAAAATTGAATCAAAAGTAGTTTATTAGAATCATATCGGTATCATTTACTTGAACGTCAAGTCAATTCATTCAAATCAATAATTTACTTACATTCGAACATACGGTATAATATAAATAATATTAGACCTAATGCAGATTTACACATTACTAGCTCTATTTCAGTGACAACTGTATATTATAGATGATGTTTATTTTTGTGTAATTTGAAATAACTTTTGCATCAAAGCTTTTTGTAAATTGATTTTTATTTTTTGTTTTACTTTATATTGTAATTCTTCATTATACCAAGGGCTGGCAAAGGTTAGTTTTGGGTCGAGATTTCCGTATGTAAGAAGAGTACAATGCGTTTATAATGTACTGAACAAAGAGAACAGTAAACACGTTGCCAAACGTATGAAATAAACCGAGAAACTGCGCACATTGCTAGAGACGTGGAAGGAGATATAGCAACATATAGACCTAATCAGTACCATATCAGTTCTTAAAATTCAAGGAAAGGGTGTACATCATGCGTTCAGCTTCACGATTTAACTACGTCTCGTGATACTTTATTTGCTTATTTATTAACGAGTCGTTGTAATTTTTCCTATAGCTTGTAAATTTTTAAGTACGAGTTAGAAACAATAATTGCACTTTTGGTAAAAATAAGTGGAATTGAGTTCGACAGTGGTCGCGCTATTAGAACTCAAGAATTCAAAGATCGATATCTCGAAATTCATTAGAAATAAGTGATTGTAGTTTTTTCAAAAACTTTCTTAATATTTCTGCTATATGCGTCTTCGCAGACAGCAAGTGAAAATCTTTATAAATAAAAAAGTTACTCGATTGCTGAAAATTGCAATGCACTAAAAGTAAATGGATGGGTTTTTTAAATTTTTGAATGAAAAAAAAACAAGCCTATCGAAATTTTCTTATTTAAACATCTTGTAAAAGATCCGAACATCAAAATAAAAAAAACTTTCAATATCTAAAATAATTAGTTCTTAAATTATCGTGATTACTGACGTTTTCTCGTTATAAAAAAATGGACACCCTAACGATATCCTTATAATTCCATTTCAGAGGCTCAGAAACATATCTAATGATTTCTACAGAAATTGCTCTAATGATTCTAAGCGTTTGCTATTGTGATTTTACTTTACTTGATAGGGAAAGGCGGACAGGAGAAATGTGGCAACGCCGCAACAGCACACCGTCGCATTTCTCTCACTCCGACTTAATAAGATCTCTGTGCGATTTACTTCCACACATGTAAATACCGACCCAAAAGTAAGAGTTGCTAGCACTGTATATATAGAGCTTCTTGCATGCATAACTATTCCTGATTTGGACAGTTGATTGTGTTTTAAGATTGACGCTGTGTCCATATTATTTTATATTAAGTCCGTTTTTTTTTAGTTTTATTAAAAAATATAAACTTTGATTGCGCCGACGAATCATGTCCAACTATAGTGGGAATGGTTTACGTTAGAAGAATTCTGTATATACCTCCTAAAGCGTTATAACATTAATGCCAGTAATAATTAATTAAATATTGTATTTTAGGGTGAACCAGTGACTCATTTCCAACAAGGTCCAAGGCCAGCTTTAAATATTACACATTATATGCAGCAACAAATGATGCAAATGCAGTATCAGTACTTACGACAACAGCAGCAGTTACAACACTTCCAAAGGTATAGTACAATTTTTTCAGCGTAATTTATTTTCAGTGTGTAACTTTATGTTTTAGGCCATCATCAAATTTAGAAAAATCTGGGGAAGAGGGCGAGGAAGCTCCAGTAGGACTTGCTCTCTCTGGTAGAGGTGCCACTGTACCGCACCATTCTCCTCATGATAGAGCTACAGGTAATTATACATTAATATACACTTGAATAGCTAACGAGTAAAAGTACCCTCCCTGCCCAATGCAGTTTTTTCTTAATTTTGTAATATTCTGAACAATAGAAATGTTAAAGTAATAAATAGGTAACATTTAAATTTTGCATATGAATACATTTTTTGTAAACAAATAGATTTGGCTAGAAACCCGCTACTTTGTTATGGCTTAAAAGTTGACCATTATGGAGATATTGCAGTACAAAAATGGTGGGAAAATAATGTTTTTATTTTTATCTTTATCTCTTATCTTTAAATTTTATGGGAGTATTACGTCTCTAAAAACACACTAACTGGATTTTTTTTACTTTTTTAAGCTGATCAGAAATTAGAGGTGGGAATTCTAGTTCTTTGTCAGGAACTAGTTCCTTAGTTCTGTTTCCGCCAGAGGAATAGCTCCTTGAACTAGATCTTTAGATCACATTAGTTCCCGACTAACATTGACATCCCCGTTGGTTGCTCATGGGTTTCGTTATAAGTCCTATTCATAGTATGATCTGTATAATTTTTATATTGTACGAAATATGTATTACGAAACGTGCAATTGTGTATATTAAAAACAATAAGTAAGTTTTATTGCAGATAAGAACAAAAAATTTAAAAAGAAACTCAAATCAGAGTTTGAAAAACTTTATCACAAATCAGTTGGTGCAAATAATAAATAAATAAAAACTTAATACTGACACATGTGGGTGAAGCTAAATTATAAATAGAACGTAAAGTTTTATCTCTTTTCGTCACTTCAAGCTCTTTATTTTTGTCTAAAAAGTCAGAATATCTACTTCGTTTTGACCTAAGGTGAAACATTCCCATAAAATATTCGGAGAACAAACTGAAAATTAAAAACAGTATCCACGACAATTTTCTATGGTAAATGCCGGCCGCAGTCATAGACAAGATTCGGAGACAGATCTTGGAACTGCGGACCGAATAGATTCCCGTGAACTTGTCTTTTAATTAGTTCCTCTCGGTCCGATAACATATGACTAGCACTTCCCACTCTCAACTAGCATTGGTCTACGATCACGCTGGAATAATTGAATATTATTATTATTTCATTATCCTTGATTCGTCGTTGAGGCATTCTGAAGACCAACACCACTAAATTTCCTACTACAGCTTTACAAAGCTTTTCTGTGACAATAAGATTAACAATAAGGGCTAGCCGGACAATTAGCTCTCACCCGATTTAATAACCTAACAGGTCAGGTAGTAAGCGTATATATTTATTACGCATATTAAATTTTACAGCGTCTGACAAATCTAAAGATTTGGGTGTCGCTTATGTTTTTATTGGGGTTTACCTCATCTTGAAGCATTGGCTGACTTCTACATAAGTTCAAAACACTTTTTAATTTCATTTTCACCTATCATCCCTTTGCTTCAGTTTACCTCTGTGAAATTTATAGGACTAGTACTAATGGCTCGCCCTCATTCTTTTCTTAAAAGTAGAATAATCGAATATTATTTAATATTTCATCAACCTTTATTTGTTGTTGAGGCATTCTGAAGACCCAACACCACTAAATTTTCTACTACATCTTTAGAAAGCTTTTCTGTGAATCGACAATAAGGACAGTTAGTTTTCACCCTATTTATTAACCTGACAGGTCAGGTAGTAAGTGGGCGTTTTAATTTCAATATAGTTTTATGACTTAGAGGCGTAAATTCGGCGAATGGACTTTGCCAATAAAGTCTCCACCACTCTGTTATCTACCTAAAGATTTTAAAAAGTATATTTTAGGGCTAAGTAGGGGATGCAGTTGGTTTGTTAAACCAGAAAATTACTGGATGTTTTTATTTAGTTATATGTAGTATTCTAATGTGCCAATTTGTGCAAGTAAAAAAAATATAACTATTTTCAGAATCTCCAGCAATCGGTCAAGTGTATAACACGTTGCCTAATTCTGCTCGTTTTCCACCTTACCATCCCGGAACGCGATACTACGACCAGCAACCTGCGGAACCTCCACCAGCCCACAGGCCTCTGACATCACACGATAGAGCCGGCTTGGCACATATTCCGACACTCGATATGGCCGATCGACCTTTAGGAGCTCACACGACGGCTCATTCCAGTTCACATCTAACCGCAGATAGACCCTCCGCCACTGCACCCGAAAGACCGCTCAGTGCTCATCTGACCCATGATATATCCTCATTAGGAACATCCGAAAGACCACACACAGCCTACGGACATCCAGGTACGTGTATATTAAGATATTCGAACCCCGCGGCGTGCAAACTCATTGTTTGTTTAATAAGAGTTCTGGAAAAAAAACATGATAGGCGCCATTTCACTAATTTTACAGGAGAGCACTCTGGACGGCTCGTGGTTGTCAGGTTCTTTCCCTGTATATATAGTTTTTTTACTAGGCATCATAGGGTTTAACAGCTTATTGCCTGCAGAATTTATACATATTCTAGAGACCAGTTAGACCTACTATAATACTGCAAAACCCTAAAATTAAGAAAATGGCGCTTGTCGTGTTTTCCCCTGGACCCTTCATATTATTTTATTAGCAGTAAAATAGTATCTTGATTCATTAGGAGTAAAAATGATACTTTTTATGGCGAGGCTGTACGTTTGACGTTTAATGCGCAAAAAGTACATTTTTACTCCCAACAGAACATGCTATTTTTTTAAACTTCACAAATAGATTTTTAAACAATTTCAAACGTCCGTCGCAAATATAAAAAGTATTACCTAGTAAGTAACTATATGTCGAGCAACAATGGGTACACTCGTTGAATGTAGAACACACTCGATGTAGTTTAATAATATTAAGGGTCAGGAAAAAAAAGCAGGTTAGTCAGTTTTGTTGCTACATTTAAATATTCTGTGCATTCGGTTCAGAGTGAGTGTAAACATCTTTAGAAACCGCCAAACTGGGAAAAAGTAGCCTTGGTCAGAAATTATGTAGAAATATATAGAAAGTTATACTATAAAGAAAAAAATGCAGACAAGTCATACTATTTTTGTAACGTTTTGAACATTAAGCCTTTTCTCAGTTTGGGGAGAGATTGACTTACCTGCTTTTTTTCCTGACCCTTCATATATTTTTGTACTTTTGTGCTTAGCCGTAAAAGTCCTTTACTTTTATACCTAGGCTTTAAAATAACCTTTTAATATTGTCGATCACGTTGCAACATTTAATACTTTTGTGACGTTGGAAAAAATAAGTGTATTTTGCAATATTGTTCGATATCAGCAAATATATTTAAAGACTGTATAGCCATACAGTCTTTAAATATAATCAGGTTCACAAGTCAGGCACACAAATTGAAGCCAAATTTTTGAGATGGAGCTATACAAAATCCGCATAAGTCGGTCCTTTTCGCGATTATTTTATTATTTATTTTCATACTAAACCAATAGAAGTAGCTTTCAGAGTTTCTATCAACTACGTAAATTAAGTTAGCGTCTTACTGTTCGCGCCTTTGCTTATAGATTTAAATTTAATCTGAAATATTTAAACAAAAACAATAAACGGTTAGATATTTCAAGAATATCTAAAATAACAGGTTGAAATAATGCCATTACGAAAAAAAAATAATGTATTATATATTAAAGTTTAAAACAGTGCCCGGTCACGTGACAGTTTTCAACGATGAAGTAAACGAATCAGATCGTTTTATTTGGGGCGTGCGCATAAAAATCGCGTTGAAGCAAAAGGATAGACTTGATAGGATTATTTAGCTTCACTTTCCACTCATTGTGTCAATGGGCTATTAATCATATAGTCTTTAAATATATTATTTCAATTGTGATTATCTTGGGTATAGGTTTCTCTATTAAAAATTAACTGACTTCTAGGCGTTTTTAAATCATTTATTTACTGACGCTTCGATTTTTCATGTAAATCTTTCTCACGGCATCTAAAATATTTTAAAAAACATTGTAATACGATTACAATTTTTTTAAATATATAACAAACATGTGTACATAGAGTCAAATATTCTTAATACATAAAAGTATAAAGTAAATTAAAAATCTTTCAAAACAATACACTAAAAATTAACAATATAAATATGAGAAATCTTGAAATTAAAAATTACTATTATATATTGTAGCAGAGCACGTATCTCAGATGTTGTTTCGGCCGTTGAATTCTTATATTAATCGTGAAATTGTGTTTTTTTGGTGTGTTATATTTTATTTTTTGTCTGTATGCGTTTCTTTCTGTATTGCAATACGAGGGTCGGTTGAAAGTACTGGGTTTATGAATGTTGCGTTAGTTTATAAAGTTTACGTATATTCTATTCAGGTTTTGAATATCCTGTCTGTCGTTTACTGACGTTTTTGTTTCTCGCTATATGAATCATTTCCTTTATTTAACACAAACCAAACCAAACCAAACAACAAACGATACTGTATTATGGAATTCCATGTCTAAATTGCGAAAAAATATATATTGGGAAAACATCCCAATATAGTTCGAATAGAATTAATCGACACAAATACAACAAAAACGCCCCTACAGCCCTACACAAACATGAATATAACACCAACCACGAGTTCGACTTTAAAAATTTCAAAATATTAGATCAAGAAAGACGTCATAACAAATTAAACATCAAGGAAATGATTCATATAACAAGAAACAAAAACGCAGTAAACGACAGACAGGATATTCAAAACCTGAGTAAAATATACGTAAACTTTACTGAGTAAAACTAACGCAACATTCATAAACCCAGTACCACAGTTTAAAGAATATAAAATATATTATTTTATATTCTTTAAACTGTGCCAGTACTTTCAACCGACCCTCGTATTGCAATAGGTACAGAAAGAAATGCATACCGACAAAAAATAAAATATAACACAACAAAAAAAACACACACAATATCACGATCAATATAAGAATTCAACGGCATAACCTAACCAAGATAATCACAATTGAAATATTGAATAAAGGTTTAAGAAAAAGAAAGATATTTAAATATATTTGGATATCATTGATACATATTCTAATAAATAATCTATTGAGTATCAACCTTACAGTCTCATTTGTTTATTATTATAGAAGGCATGTTTGACCAAATCACAGATTTTTCTTAAATTAAAAATATGTGACATTTTGTGCAATAAAACACCTTTCTCATTCAGTGATCTTGATAGATGATAGAGATCTTATTCACCAACAAACTTTTTATTTTATTTCCAGAACGTTCTGTGGTTGGCAGTGGTTTAGGCGCAGCTGGAAATCTTATTGAAGCAATGGCTAAACATATAGGCGTAGACGCTCCGGCAAGTCATCGAGGCATTCAAGCAGCCACACCGCCTTTGGCTAGTCAAGTACCACCTCAAGCTGAAAGCTTGTACATGCTTCTAAAGGTTAGTATTTTTACATGACTATTCATCATTATATAAATTAAATAACCCGATACGTGATGTATCTCTCTTCCGCAGTCCAGACATTCAAAAATCTCATTGCTTTGTTGCCTTTTTACTTTTTGGTTGTCGTTGTTAACTGAGTTTACTACACTTCTCTATTGCGTTCTATTGTGCGTTGCTTCCTCCCACTGATTCTACATGCTGGATCAATTCCTTTAAATTTTCATGGAAAATATCATTGTTCATGGAAAATACCTTGTACATGAAATATCCTTGGAGTTGTCCCCCGGTTTCCTTTTACCGTCCGTAAGCTCACCGTAAAGGAGAGATTTTGGTAGGCGTTTTTTTTGTCAAGTTTAAGTGTTTCAAAAGTGTTCAGTGGTCAAACTATTTTTTGTAGGATTTACATATTGTAAATGTTTTTAACTGTGATAATTATGTTCTTTGTAACATAAAATATACTCACTATGCTGGTGGATTCCTCTTAAAAAGAATAAGTGACTTTTACATGGTACCTTTTACTTGTACATACCTTTTTTGATAAGTTGTCAGACAACTTAAATACAGGAGATGCCTGAACACTGATGCAACGCTTTCCTAATCACTCCCATATTAGGGAAACTATGAAAACCATTATACTTTTATTTGTGCATCTTTCGTTTTACAAAAAAGTAGCCAAGCTTTGCGAAAACCGCAAGGTTCTATATTATTTCTTGAGTAAAGTTTGTTTTGAATAAAATTATAAACGTTGACATAAACGATAAAAAATTAAAAGTCTCATATCTTGTTTTTCTTTGTAGCATTATCCACTAATGTGGCAAGGGCTTTTGGCGATAAAGACCGATCAAGCTGCAGTCCAAATGTACTTTGTTTCTGGTAGTGAAGAGGTTGCCAGATGTAGTTTACCAAAAAATATAGATGGATCAACACCTCCTCTACGAATGTTCCAAAGAATGCGATTAGAACAGCAACAAGTTGAAGGGGTTGTTCGAAAGATGCAGGTAATGTAATATTTTTTATATCTGTAAATAACGAATAGCAGTCCTCCCTTCATTACATTAATATCAATTCGTAGGTTAGTGTGATTGTAAAATATGAATAATTTGTTTCAGACGGAAAATGAACATTGTGTGTTACTAGCTTTACCTTGCGGACATGACCCTATGGACGTACTAAAACAATCTACTAATCTTACCGCAGGGTTTATCACTTATCTGCAACTGAAACAAGCTGCAGGAATAATAAATGTCGCTGCTCCAGGAACAACACATCCGGTAAGATATACAACCTTAAATACACTATAGAGATCTGTATATTACCTAGATCGTTTTTTACGTATATTACCTAGATCTGTATATTACCTTAGGCTATAATATAATATACCTAGATCTGTAATTATATTATAGTTATCGTTGCTCATATCGCAACTTCATTGATTCATTGATATACAGGGTGTCCCAGAAATAAGTGCAAGTATTTTAAAGGGTGGTAGATCTCGATAAAAGAAACTTATTTTCTCTTTATCGTTTTTTAACGGAGTTATTTTACTTTGAAAATTTCCAAAAAAATGACTTGCTAAAATTTTGAGAACCACTGGATCTTTTCTGGATTTTCTTTCTTGTAAATTTAATCTAATACCTATATTGCCATATTATCAAGAAATTATGTTTTTAACTAAAAACTAAAAAAAAATCCAAAAAAATTTTCAAAAAATTTCGAATTTTAATTTTTTTTTTCGCGAAAAAACCTCGTAGGCGTGTTTCTGGGGTTGAACTGTACTCCCAGTTAAAATATTTGCACTTATTTCTGTGACACCCTGTATAATAAATTTGAAACTTGGGTAAAATTATACAGTCATCAGTTGAATGTCACTCCTGATTTAGCCGGAAGTGAGCACAAGGAAAGAATGTTAAATGACACGTTGTATATATTTTTACATATTTACATAGAGCTTAACATTTTATTTCAAAGATATATCACAAGTTAGTATTATTTTTGTAAATCGTTTGGCTGTTAACAGTAAATGGCGTCATAGAGCTATTATAATTACAATTTCAATATGAGGAAATTCTGCAGTTTACTAATAGCAATCACGTGAACCCATCCACTGGGTTTGTGTCAAAAAAGATTTTGTTTGCTTTTAATTGGGTTGTCAAAATAAAAAAAATTGTCATGAGATAAAAGCACATTTAGTTTTTGTTTAAAATGTGAAAATAAATCTCAAATTTACTCATTTAGAATAGTGGTCCTATAAAAATACGAAGAATTGAGTATGTATAATTGCATTTAGAAGCAAGTACAATATTAACAGCAATTTTTTTAAAAAGGACAATATTAACAGCAACATCACTTGGAATTTCCAATAGCTAACTAGGATAGTCCAGAGTAAGCTAATAAAATATTCGCACAAAAAATTAAAACCAAAACTCTTTGGGTTAGAAAAAAAAGATTTTGCTAAAGTTTTTTCTCGCTTTTCTGCCAAATTGAATTTGGAATAAAACCGCTCTACAACGCCATTTTAAAAATATTACTAACTTGTGATATATCATTGAAAAGAGAATTGTAAGCTCAGTATGTAAAAATGTAAAAAATATTCAGAATTCCTATAACATTTAATTCTCACATAAAAAAAGTTCAAGCTGGCAATCTCGCTTTGACTTTATAATCGTGCGGCGGCTGCGACGGCCAGACGAGACGGCGCGGTGTATCAAAGGCAAGGTTAAAGGCGAGAAAGAACGAAAGAAATGGAAGCTTAGGGAAGGGGGGAGTGCGGGAACGATTTGAAGTCACTACGGCTGTTTGTTTGGCCGAATATTTTGCCTTCATCGACGGTATCGCCGCCCTGTCGTCGCACTTCCGAACATAGGTCTTTTTGAACACAAAATTTCCCATAAGGTGTCGCATCTGTTTAAGTTAGTTTGTGTATATACTTATATGGATGTTGCCCGCGTCTCATTTTTACTGTTTGTATCAATTGTTTTATCAAACTCGAGTTGGAAGGTTCGTAGCATCCAAGTAAAGGTTGATTCTCACTATACCTTCCGTTTCCGTTCCATATCCGTTCTGTATTTTTTATTGTATATTGACGCTATACGTAAGTTTCCGTTTCAGCAGTCGCTGAAGCGCTTTTAGGGTTTCGGTTTTGCCTGTCGCGATTTGGTCGGTTACTATTGACGTTGGTGCTCCCGTCGCTACGCTACTTTCGAAATAGCGATTTTTGGTATGTACTCGGCATGGTATAAAATAGTGTTGTTTGAAAGATGAAACGCAAAAGCAAATAAAATAAAAATGTTTTATTTGCTTTTATACATTTATATAAGTTTTATTGTTTATATCTATTTTTAAGGTTAGATTAGACAACAAACATTTTTTTTTGACAGATGGTTTGGACTTTGTTCTTGATTTTAACATTAATTATATTATATTGCAATACACATAAATATGAGCCGTTCATTTTATTTAAACGAAAATTGATAAAGAAAAAAAAATAACAAGGAATGTCATCGTTTTTCTAAAAATGAGAGAGATTGGCTATACACAATTATAAACTCGATATTTGGAAAATTAGTGGCGGATAAAAGTTACATTAATCTACAAATATATATAAGTTAGATATATTTTTAGCGAGGACCGCAACACTTTGGAAGTCGGAACCTCGGTTACAAAATCGCGGTATTTTGTCGCGGTATTTTTCTGGAACGGTCGCTATTGTAACGCGAGTCACGTAGAACCGATATTCCCATCACTAGTGAGAATCAACCTTAAGTTGGCAGCAGTCTACTCGACTTGGATAAAGCAGTCTATAACTATAGAAGACATCCAAGTGTACTTGGTTAAAGCACACTTGGACCGTGTCATCCCGCTTTAATTTTAGACAGTAACCAGCAATGCTGGGTCTATAGATCTATTATTTATTATAGATCTTTATTTTCCTATTTTATCGTATTATAAGTAATTTACTAATGTTTTTCTTTTGCAGCCGGCTTATGTTGTCCACATATTTCCATCGTGCGATTTTGTAAACGACAACTTGAGAAGGATAGCGCCGAGTTTGTTAGAGAGAGTAGCCGATATTGCACACCTTTTAATAGTCATTACAACCGTATAAACCAAAATTGAAGAGTACATCTACTACCTCGTGCGATTTGAATGGAAATGGCAAAAGTCCACACCGACTCCTGATTTTCAATGTCAGATGTTATTGAGTACAAACTACAGGCTTAGAGAATATACTATATATACATATAATTTAGCTGGTACGCCGCATAGTTCTTTGAAGTGAATGGTTTCAATAGAAAGTTATTGGGAAATTTAGAGGTAATATCCTAAAGTAAACTTGTTAAAAAGTTATATAATATCATGTTCCAAAGAAATGTCTTTTCATAGTCCCTTTGGGAAGATATTTTTCAAATTGATATAATTACATTTTCAACTTATCGTGTCCGCTAATCAAATCTCGAGAATGTCTTAAAGAGAAAGTAATTAAAAAAATACTATATATACTAAACATTATACTTAACTATTAAAAAAGTTTCACTGTGATTTTCAGATGCGTTATTACTATTATTAAAATTGCAAAAAATATATAAAAAATATTTAACTTACCTACATAAGAGATCTCATATTTGAACTTAGTTTTGTAATATTTTTCTTTTATTTAGAAGATCTTTATTTTCATATTATCATATCTTTGTGTAATTTTCTATTTTGGTATTTACAGATAAATGATAGCGTTTGGCTTGGGGTTTCTTAAGTTTTTCCTTTCTTTAAAAACTTATTAATGAAATAATTTGGGGAGGGAAATATACATGTATAAAAGACATTAATATATACCTTAATTAATTCAAACACTATCGAATACCTGAAAGTACCAACAATTTGAGCAACTTCCTTGCAATATTTGTAAAGAAGTTGCTTGAATGATTCTATCTTAAATTAGAAGATTTTTTGTTTTAAAACAGGGGTTAGGTTGTTCAAAAAGTTTATTTTTATATATGCTTCTTATTGTTGTTAATTTATTTATTATGTATACTGACAGAGTTACAAGTAATAATCTAAACAGTTGTTTAACCAAAATCAAACAATGATCATGCAATTTGAATTATTTGTTGATTATTTTGCCTAAACAACATGTTCAGATTATTCCTTAGTACTATCCTGTTCTTTTATTCCATTTTCGAGTTTTTGTTGATTTTTATTTTGGTTTAAAAAATGGAATAAAAGGATGAGAGACTATATATTTATAAGATTACCTTTATACAGCTTAACCCTTTGAGTTTCACGGCTGTAAAAATGTTTAAATTTAATGTTACCCCCTTCAGCATAGATTTTGAACATATATGTAGGGTGGGCCATTTTTATATACTATTTTTTGCCTTCTATTTTTTTTTTTACTTTTTACAATACTTTTTAAATATTTTTCAATACTGCACATTGTCTTTTTTCCATATAGTGTGTGTCATGAAATATTTTTTTTAATACAGAAGTTATAAAATCAGTTTGGTCCAAAAATGACTCATTCTAACAAAAGTCTAAATTTTAAAAGGAAATAGGAATATAAAAAACTGTAGAATAACATATTAGTTATATCAATCCTTTTTTTATTTACACTGTAATATAAATGTGAATAGGTAGATTTTAGTTCGTTAAATTAAGGGTTAATTTTTTGAGTTATTGTTAAGAGTTTTCTGTACAGTGTATCTAGGCTGTAAGTATACTTTAGCCAGCGTTACAAATACTATAATAGGGAAAAATGTGATGTCTATATTATTATGTAAATTTTGTACATATACAAAAAAATACTGTGTATTGTGAGTATACATTATTATAACTATTACGATAAAACAATACGAATTTTATTCATAATCCTTTTCCTCTATTAAATGGTTAAATGAATGACGCCCTCGACGTTTGAAGAACCGATGCCTCTTAGGGCTCAGACACACTGACGACCAGATCGCACCGACCAGGCCGCACCTACCTCTAAAACCATTAAATCAAATGATATAGCGCACACTAACGTCCTGGCCGTCCGTTGGTCGTTGCGACCAGAAGACTGCACGGAAATATTATTTTCTGCCGCTTGTTGCCGGTTTTCTTCTAAATTAATAATTTTTCAGATGAAATCCCTCAAATTCAAGGCACAATATTTTATTTTCTATAAGATATAGTGTTTTAGTGTAGTTTTTGCACACGTGCAGAAAATCCAAAGAAATAGTATACAGACTGGATCAAAGGTAAACTTAAATCTAATCCCTTTTTTTTATCAAGGGTCGATTCTAGTAAAAACTCAAAACATTTTTATATGACATACCTACTCTATTTATGGGTGGTATGATACCTGTTATTATACCTTTGAGTTTCGATGTTTAAAAAATTAAAAAAAATTGGCGCCGGGAGGCACGTATAGCCGCCCATACTAAAATATGTCAATATCTCGAAAACTGCGACTTTGACTGATTTTGATGTTATTACAAATTTTGTTGCAAATATTATTCCTAATCTTAATTTGAAAACCGCGGTTTCGCTAGCTACTGTTTTTTAAATTTTTAACCCCCTCCTATACCCCTTACCCCCACCCCCACCAAAAACTAATGATTCTCGGATTGCCACAGTATTTTGTGCCAAATTTGGTTAAAATCGGTTCAGCGGTTTTTGAGTTATCGTGTTACAGACGGCAGACAGACAGACAGACACCACGAAAATATTTTGTATTTAGGTCATTTAATGACCCAAACAACTCATTTGAGTGAAATAAAAAAAATATTTAATTTAACGTTTTTCAAACAGGGTTCATTAAACTATATTTCTACTAGGTACATGATATTGAAAAAAAAATTAAGAAAGTAACTTAAACATTCATAAAAATAGAAGTAATTACTCTTGTAGATTCTTCGTTATATTGTAAACATTGAAATAACTGGAAGCTAAACTTTCTACCTGCTTATATTTAGAGCCAGTGTCTGACGATCTTTTTTTACGATGGCCCTAATATGTTTACTTCTAAAGTCGATAAGAGCGCCATATCAGAAGAAAAAAGAAACAGAATATCTCCCTTTTTGTCGGTGTCGGTCGCGCGTACACAATGCTTTTAGTTTGTTGTGAATAGCAACTTCGCTTTTTAGTTAACTTGGATATTTTAACATTTCTGGAACAATATTTTCTAATTGGTAAAACGTAAAAAATCGTTAGATTTGACAACTCTGTTGAAACTGGTCGTTCATCTGGTCGCAGCTAAAAACGCAATACATCCGGCCAGCCGACGGCCAGGTCGTTGCGACCTGGTCGTCAGTGAGTTCGAGCCCTAAATGGACGAAATCATAAAGATTTTCCTTAATTATGGGCCGATTGGAACCAAACTTCGCACGTGGATAGAGCTACCTGAATGGACTCCTCAGACGGCAATTTTAACACAAATTTTGTGAAAGTGGATCAAATTATTTATTAATTTTTACTTTTTCAACATTTCAAACTACAATTTTTCAAACAGGTCCTTCAAATCCTTCAATTTAATAGCTGTTAGTAAGAAGTTTCACTTCAAATATGGGCACATAGTGCACACACATTTTTTTTTCTAATATGACTGAACACGATACGTCAAAGCAATCAAAATTAGTTTTTTTAATAAATTTATCTTACGCACTAATGGCCACAATCCGAAGGGCACTATTTGGAAGTCTGTATTAGGGAGATGTTAGTCAAGATAATTTGCTATATAAAACACTTGTACAAAAATTATTAAGATACTAATTTACGCTATGTTTGGCCCATCTTTGCACTTACTTTTGATCAGTTTTATTAACTAGTAACTAGTGTTTTTCAACAAATTTGTTTGATAAATACTTAGCGAGTTAAACTAAACTAGAATTTTTTAGAATTTAGAATTAGTGGGAGGGGGGTTAATCACTGCGACCTTACAGATCTATTGTGTCCCCCTTTCTTGAGTTATACCTCATCATACAGTCCCAGGACTTTGACAAAAGCCAGTATCTGGGACGGTTTTACAGAAGGTAGTTCTCCATCTCCAATATCAGTCGTACCAAAGTTCATGGCACGAATGGCTGTTGTCTCGGCGCACTCATTGATGAGGTGTTCTGGTGTTTCCCCACAGAATCTGCATTCGTCGTTTCTCCTTAGTTTCAATCTACTGAGGTATTCATTGAGGAGACAGTGTCCTGTTAAAAACCCCATGACAATCCGAAGATTGTTCTTACAAATCCAGAAAGATCTTTGTTTTTTCTTGGTCGTAAGCCCTCAGAAACTTCTTCGAGTGTCTTAGACCGTTACAAGATTACCATTCCAGGTTGCGGATGGAGTCTTCCAAGTTATTGAGTTCCGCCTTTAGTTGGTTACCACTTGGGAAGCAGAACGGTTCTGGTCCAGTTAGTGGAGTCTTCGCTCCTTTTCTAGCTAGATCATTTGTTTTTTCATTGCATTTTTCATTCTTTTTCCCTTGGTGAGCAGGCATCCAGAGTAGGAGGACTTTGTTTTCTTTGCCTAATTTATTCAGCTTCTCTATGCATTCTTTGACCAATTGATTGATACTGAGTTGTTCGCTTTTAACGCTGCTTGACTATCAGATAAGATGGCTATTTCTTGTTTCCGATAGTTCCTATCTAAGATAAGTTGTACGCATCTTTCGATAGCGTAGATTTCTGCCTGTAGGATGCTAGGGTAGGTGCCCATTGGTTCGGAGTATTTAGTTCTCGACCCAAATACTCCAAAAAACTAAACTAACTCAACGTCTTCAAATTTATATTTTATTAATAGTAAAATTTACACATTTTTTTTCAAAACTGCGAAGTTGAATAATTCAAAATTGTGGATTTGTGGCATATTATGTTACTACAATAAGCCCTTCAATTGTAGCTATTATATTTCAAAAATGAAAACAATTTCTCTATAAACATTTATATTTGGCAGACGAGCTATTTACATTTAAAATAATACATTATTTTATACATACATGTTACATATAAAATATACACTTAAATATTTTATAGCTAATCGATAAAATTTGCATTAAGAATACGTTGACACATCTTTCCATAATAAGCATTAAATAATTTTCATCAACAAATAGCATTAAAAATAAATCAGCCCAGGGAATAATCCTAATTTATTTTATAAATTATTTAAATATTTGTATTTCAGTTAATTATTATATTTGACTGATGAAATATTGCAAATTTTTGACAATAAACTGTTTGTGTTATAGATGAATCATGTATTATCAACGCAGATTTTATACCTTGCAAATAAATTTAATACTAAACAACTTAATCAAAAGATCTCTGAGTAACGAATTCATTTATAATGTCTCTTGAATGTGAATAATATTATTAAGTGGGATTAATCTCAAAAAATTTCAAGTAGTCAATGTAATATTCTCATAACATAAAGCATTCTTTAATATTATTTCATTAGTGAAAAGTACCTAAACGCCTTATATGTATATTGCATCAGAAGTTATAAATTGTACCGACCGTACTAAGACTAGAATATATATTTTGAGGTAGAAAAATATATTATATATACATACTCCTCGCCTTTGCATTTTAACAGATAAAAATTA